CGGCATTCCTTCACTTTAGTCGGAATTCTCACTGCTGCTTTCGCAGCAGGCGAAGGATTTACACCGAAACACGAAGCTGGAAGATGTTCGATAAGGGGCAGCTGTGGGAAGGATAGTTGGTTTGGTCCTGAGCTCCCTTGTCCGGATAACGGGCTTGCAAGGGAACCGGATCATGAGGTGAGGAAACAACTGGTCGAGCTATGCGGTCCGAAATGGAGTACGGGACCTGTTTGTTGTGAGGGGAGTCAGGTATGTGGAAATATTTGAACTGGGTCGGGACTTTGCTAATGGCTTCGCAGATAGATGCTCTTGCAGATCAGATCAAGAAGGCGAATCCAATTATATCCTCTTGCCCGGCATGCAAAGAGAATTTTTACAACACTTTTTGTACATTTACATGCTCTCCAGATCAATCTCTTTTCCTGAATGTAACGGAAACACAGAAGAAGGGTGATAAATACATCGTCACGGAGCTAGATCAACTCATCTCTGATGAATATGGGTCGGGTTTCTTTGATAGCTGCAAAGATGTTAAATTTGGACCAACAAATTCAAACGCCATGGGATTTATTGGAGGAGGAGCAAAGAATTACTCCTCGTTCTTAGCTTTCCTGGGACACAAATCTTTACTAGGTTCGCCATTCCAGATCAACTTTCCAGACCCTAGCAAATATCTGGAGAAGGGGATGGATCCATTACCTATGGTACCCAAGAAGTGTAACGACGAAGACCCAAATTTCCGATGTTCTTGTGTGGACTGTCCGGCAGTCTGCCCGGCTTTGCCTGAAGTTTCAAAGTCTGGGTCATGCCATGTTGGATTGCTTCCATGTCTTTCTTTCGCAGCTATCTTCACATACAGCATGGTACTACTATTGATCGTCGTTGCTGTGTTTGGTCACATAGCTTGGGCTAAGCATACCAAAAGACGTAATGAAAGATTACGACTTTTGGAAGATGTTGCCCCAAGTGATGATGACGATGAAGGTGACATGATCCACAATAGAGCCATGTATGACAGACCTCAAAGAACTTACTGGATCAATACAGTGTGTGATACTGCATTCAGTCGTCTTGGCTTCACAGCTGCAAGATTTCCAGCTATCACTATTGTAACAAGCATGATCATAGTTGGAATCTTGAGTTTAGGTTGGACAAAATTTGAGATTGAACAGAATCCTGCACGGCTATGGGTCAGCCCATCATCTTCTGCAGCTCAAGAGAAAGCTTATTTCGATTCGAATTTTGGACCATTTTATCGTGCCGAGCAAGTATTCTTGGTCAACGATACTAACTCATCAGGTCCTGGTCCTGTCATGAGTTACGATACGTTGAAATGGTGGCTTGAAGCTGAAGATCGAATTAGAGGGTTGACCGGAAAACAAACCGGTACCAAATTCAGTGATGTATGCCTGAAGCCCACTGGTGATGCTTGTGTCGTTCAATCTGTAGGAGGTTACTTGAACGACGATATTTCCAGTGTAGGCCCGGATACATGGGAGCAGACTATTCGATCATGTGCTGAATCACCTGTGAATTGCCGTCCTGCTTTTAGTCAACCGTTAGATCCTAAGATGCTCTTTGGTGGTTGGCAAGAATCTGGTGATGTCATTGATGCTACTGCCCTAATTGTTACTTGGGTAGTAAACAATGATGATGAGGGGTCATCTCAAGTCGAACATGCTATGGATTGGGAGGCCTCCCTCCGGGATGAGTTGTTACGTTTGCAGGTTCAAGCAAGCGAACGTGGTTTAAGACTTTCTTTCTCAACTGAGATCAGTCTTGAGCAAGAACTTAATAAATCTACTAACACTGATGCAAAGATTGTCGTCATTAGTTACATCATAATGTTCTTCTACGCATCTTTGGCTCTCGGCTCAACAACCATCTCATTCCAAACATTAATGCACAACCCAGCCAGCTCTTTGGTCCAATCTAAATTTTCACTAGGAGTAGTGGGGATTCTGATTGTGCTGATGTCTATCTCAGCCTCAATTGGTCTTTTCTCCTTTGCAGGCGTTAAGGTTACGCTTATCATCGCTGAGGTTATTCCATTCATCGTTCTTGCAGTTGGTGTTGATAACATCTTTTTGATTGTACACGAATTTGAAAGAGTCAATACTAGCCATCCTGATGAAGTGGTTGAGCACCGTATTGCCAAAGCACTTGGAAGAATGGGTCCATCAATTCTTCTATCAGCATCTACTGAGACTATTGCGTTTGCCCTTGGTGCTTTTGTTGGTATGCCGGCAGTTCGAAACTTCGCAATTTATGCTGCTGGCGCAGTATTCATTAACGCTGTTCTACAAATCACCATGTTTGTTTCTATTCTCAGTCTCAATCAACGACGTGTTGAAGATCGTCGCGTAGATTGCATTCCTTGCATTCAGATCAAAGCCGCCGGTGTTCACCTTGGAAATGGCAATGGCAATTCTTACTCGAGATTTTACGAAGGTTCTGATGAGGGTTTCCTTCAAAAGTTTATCCGCAAGACTTATGCTCCAAATTTACTTGGTCGTAAAGTAAAGACCGCTGTCGTCGTTATCTTTCTTGGAATATTCGCCGCTGCTGTTGCATTGATGCCTGAAGTCGCTTTAGGTTTGGATCAACGTGTGGCAATTCCTGACGGATCATATCTCATTCCATACTTCAATGACTTGTATGATTACTTTGATTCGGGACCACCTGTATATTTCGTTACTCGGGAGTTGAATGTTACCGAACGTAGCCATCAACAACAGCTATGCTCTCGCTTCACAACATGTGAAACAGAATCCCTCACCAATATTTTGGAGTCTGAAAGAAAGAGGCCAGAAGTTTCCTACATCGCAGCGACTCCTGCTAGCTGGATCGATGACTATTTCCGTTGGCTCGATCCTTCGTTAGACTCGTGTTGTGTTGAAGGTCGCTCAGCTTGCTTTGAACATCGTGATCCAGCATGGAATATCACTTTACATGGTATGCCTGAAGGTCAAGAATTTATTCATTACCTAGAAAAATGGATTGCTTCTCCCACAGATGACGACTGTCCTCTTGGTGGTCAAGCTGCCTATGGACATGCTCTGGTTATTGATGCAGAAAGAGATACTATTCCAGCAAGTCACTTCCGCACGAGTCACACACCACTCCATAGCCAAGAAGATTTCATTGCCGCCTATGCCTCTGCTCGTCGTATCGCAGATGGTATGAGTGAAAAGTCTGGTCTAGAAGTCTTCCCCTACAGTGTCTACTACATATTCTTCGACCAATACACCACGATCATCAGTCTCACAGCAACTCTCCTCTGTTCCGCTTTGGTACTCATTCTATTCATCTCTTCGATTCTTCTCGGATCTCTCAAAACAGGCGCTGTAGTCACAGTAACAGTCATAATGATAGTAACCGATATCATTGGCACAATGGCTGTCTTTAACGTCTCTCTCAACGCAGTCAGTCTCGTCAACCTCATTATCTGCGTCGGCATCGGCGTGGAATTCTGTGCCCACATCGCCCGCGCATTCATGTTCCCCTCGCGCTCCGTCATGGAAAAAGCGAAAAATAAGTTCCGCAATAAGGATGCACGCGCCTGGACCGCTCTTGTAAATGTAGGCGGCTCAGTCTTCAGCGGTATCACGATTACGAAACTAGTAGGCGTCACGGTGTTGGCGTTTACGAGGAGTAAAATCTTTGAAATTTATTACTTTAGAATTTGGCTTGCGTTAGTCATTTTTGCGGCATTACATGCGTTGGTTTTCTTGCCCGTGGCGCTTAGTTTGGCTGGTGGAGAGGGGTATAGAGATAGTGGGGATGAAGGGGGGTTGGAGGAAGATTTGGCGGAGAGGAGATATAGAGCTCTTTTGCCGGATGATGAGAGTGATGATGAGTATTAGATTTACGGTCAATGGATGGCACAATGGAGGTGGATGCTTTATGCATCGTGGATCACATGATAGACTCAAAGCTGGGGTTGGTGTCGGAGTTGGTGTCGAAGTTGGAGTTGGAGAGATGTAGCAGAGAAGATAAATTTGTAAAAAATACTTGAGAGAAAGATATCGCGAGGTGGATGGATGGATATGGATGATACATATGTGTATGTATGTATGTATGTATGGCGTATGGGGATTTGAAGAAGTATTCAGGGATTCGGTGAGGAGATTGTGGGAGGGAGAGATGGAGGAATGGTAATGAGATGGTCTGATTGGGCTATTACTGGTATAAATACATGTATGGAAGGGAAGACGAATGGATGAATGGAAGTATGAAATGATTGATGGATGGGTATGTCGGTAGGTGGGTGGGTACACAGCGTAATAATCAAATCACAGTAACCGGAAATCACAGTAATGAAATCTATTTTCTACTTACGATATAGTATATATTTATCTATTGTTTTTGTTTTTTGATGCGGTGATGTGTGTTGTGGTGATGTGGTGTTGTGGTGATGTGGTGTTGTGAGATGTTGAGATGGGTGTATGTAAGATATATGTATGTATGTATGTATGTATGTATGTATGTATGTATGTATGTATGTATGTATGTATGTATGTATGTATGTATGTATGTATGTATGTATGTATGTATGTATGTATGTATGTATGTATGTATGTATGTATGTATGTATGTATACACAAGTCAAAGGAAGTATCATAGATACTAGATATCTATTCCTATTCCCATTCCAATCTTTCTTAAAATATAAGAATATAAAAGTATATCTATCTATCTATATATATATATATATATATACCTACTTAGAAGAATAGAAGGAGAGGAAGTTTTTAGGGCCAGGGTTTAAAGATGGTGTTGGTGTTAAGTTTTGAGATTTGAGATTTGTATTTGTAATGATGATGATGATGATGATGATGAGTAAATGAATTTGAATAGAAATAAATGAATATAGATAAGTAGAAGGAGTGAATGAGTAGAAGAGTATATATAAAAACTTATAGGGTATAAGATATATTATAAATATAATATGGAAAAGAATGAGAAAATGAGAAAATGAGAATTATCAGCTATCTATACTATAAATCTATAATAATAAATTAAATGTCTTCAATATGTAATCTTACGTATATACTTCGCTAGAAGAAATTGAGATCTTGTTCTAGCTGGAGTCTATGAATAATTCTAGTATACCTAGTGTAATGTGTCACGCAAGGAGATGATTGATTAGTTTCTCATGAGAATGGAGAAAATAAATAAGATGAGGGTAAGATGAGATGAGATAAAACAAGTTATAATAAAATGAAATCTTTGAATATATTTGTATATGTATCTATCTATCTAGCTAGGTTGTATTCTATAAATTAGATACTCAAGAAACCTTCCGTTGACTAAGAAGGCCATACAGCTACCACCCTACCAATTATTATTTCCCCGACTCAGAGTTTACAAACCAGAGATGTATTCTCTTCAGATTACTTCCCATCTCCGCATCTCCCTTCCTTCCCAAAACACAACTCAATTCAATTCTTCACCCTCCATCTTCATCTCCATCTTCATCCACCCCACGTAATCCAAAAACCCCCCCTCCCCCACCCAAACCTCCTCGTCATTCTCCTCCCCATACACCTCAACATAACCGGATCAATCTTCGCCACCGGATGCGGTCGATGAAAAATAATTTTCCCGCTACGATTTACGAATATTCTCTCTCTATTTCCCTCCCCCTCTCCATCTCCCAACCCCGCAAACTCCCTCTCAAACCCCACCGCACTACCTCCTTTATTTCGCGCGCAAAATCCCATGTCAGACATACTATGTACGAAAAGATCCCATTCGATACTCTTTGTGGACGCGTCTTCGGCGGTGCAAGGATACATGTGAGAAAGCATCTCGTAAGCGCGGTTTGTGACGAAAGTTTTTGGGGTTATAGGGGGAGAGACGGTTGTGTTTGCTAGGTAGTTGGCGAGCTCTTGGGGGTTTTTTGGGGAAAATTGGGCAATGGTAGAGGGGCGAATTTTGTCTTTTGCTTTTGTTTGGGTTGGGAGGGTTTGAGTTGGGTCTTCCGTGCCCCAAGTTGTTTGTGTGGGTGTTTTGGCAGATTTCTGGCTCTTTTGATTGATTTTGGTGTTCTGGTTCTGTTCGATTTGAGCTAGTAGCTGCCGTTCCTCAGCTTGGACAGCACTTAGGTATTCTTGAGTAGTGGTGGCACTGATACACTCAAGCTCTTCAGCAATCTCGGCTTCGGTGAAGCCATTCTGCTTCCAAACCGTCACACTGTCCTTCCTGATGTCCTGCCAGAATGCCTCCAGTGCTTTCCTGGTGTTTTGAGAGTGATTCAACCAAGCCATGTCCTCCCGACCAGTGGGGGCTTTAACCTCGTGGAAATCCTTGAAAAATGCTTTTCCTAGCTTGGTATAAGCGTCATTGTGGTAAAGTGACTTTTGACATTAAAATCCTTCCAAGTTTTTCGTTTTTCTGACTGAAACACCTCATCTAAGGTTCTAGGTCTACTTAGGGGTCGATGTAAACGAATGGCAGCCAACATTTCATGAGAAGCTGCTAGATCTGAGAGGAGATTTGATAAGGCCTCGTCTAGGCGAGACTTTTCTTTGATATTACTCTTAGCCAGGTGATTCTCTAAAATAGAGAATAATAGTGCATGATCTATGGGTACTTCTTTTGGCCATGTGTTTGGCGTTTGTTGAATATCCGGTTTGATTTGCAATTGGGCTAAACAATAATCTAAGAGCTCGTTCTCAAATGCATATTTTGAATCAGAAAGCAAGCCGTTCTTCCGGCTCACTTCGAGGATGACAGGCCCATGTTCTTGGGATTTTCTTGTTGTCGTATAAATGTGAGAAAATCCCGGTCTCTGTGAAATCGTTTTTCCAAGAAGATCGCCACGACGGTTGACATCATTCACTACCAAGAGTCTAGATAGTAATTTAGTAAGATTCCATGTCAAGTACTCAACAATCTATGCAGATGATTGGAAAACTTGAATCAACTTACTCTAGTGCACCCAATGCCTTATCATATTTAGATGGAAGATCTTCGCCTTGTGCAATATTGTCTCGAAATCGATCATGAATTGATTTGACACGTTCACATTCATTCTTTACCCATCCCCACCTCCAGCAAGAAATGATGGTTTCAGTGATCCCCCGTACAACCAGCCAACCAGGCCCCATATCCTTAGTCGACTCATAAGCACCTCCATGGCACATGGCCGCGATATATCGTTTCATGTATGCCGGCTCTGTCTGCAATAGCCAAAGATGATCGATGGTTGCTTCTAATCGTGTTTGAGCCAACGAGATCAGATTGGTGAGAGAAAACGATGGAGGCGATGAGAATGCTTGATTGGTGTAGGGTGACCACAATTCCACGACATTACTATGCCTAAATCCCAGCGAAACCATAGATTTCCATTTTTTCCGCTGCAAGAGGTGTATTTTCATCTATTCCTTGAAGTATGCCCTCAATAACCCTCCGAAGTGAACCCATCAGATGAGCTTGAGCCTCGATAATAAGACGTGCCTTGGGAACCCAATAATATCCGCTCTGTGTGCCGGACCAGCTTTCCAGTCCACCACCTCCCCGTACCTGAGACCATACATCACGATACATTTGGCTGAAAAGTCAACGTCGAAGTTTCCACAAAGAAAAGAGCCCTTGAGCTGTCGCGAATCAAACGAAGCCCAGTCCTGGGGAGCATACACCGTTCGATTGTGCAACAAAGCAAAAAGAACAGCGGGGCTGGTTTTGAGGACTTCTAAATTCAAACCAATCTAGGAGGAGGTGATGGCGAGTTTCTAGAGAGCGCAGTTCCATTTGACCATCGCTATTTATGGGCGGGATCTGCTTGCCTTCAGGGGTGAAACCATGACGTGGGATGATCCACCTTTCCTTGCACAAATTTGGAACGGCTTCAAGTAGCAGCGCCTGACGTTTGTCTTGACTTTTCTTCTTCCATCGATTAACAATGATATCCCCATACTTCGCGAGTCTATCTGTTAAATATTTGCGATCTTGTTGTATGACATTTATGTATGAAGCAGCAATTTGTTTGGCTTCATCGCTGGAAAGTGAACGTCGATAAAACCAGCCAGGATGCATTTGCTCTTCGCATGTATAGTAGCCTTGTTCACAATCGGCACAAGTACCTGCAGCATTGGAAATTTAGTAACAGTCGTACAAGATAGTGATCTCGAGTGAGGCGAATTTAAGCCGCACTGAGAAGACAAGATCAAAAATCGCACAGGATTAAGATGGAATGCATAAACTCAGAAAAGAATAGTTGTTCTTACTCACATGGTGGGCTGCAGATAGCTGCTCTGACTTCATCTGAATGCATGGCCAGGTTGTGGGAAGTGCTACTAAGTGGAATCCCTAATCCTTGATAAGGTGCGTCAATTGGACGGCTGCCATAGAGCCTTGGAAATTTTCGGTGCATCTTTATTGAATCGATATATGAGTGATTGTAGATTTTATAAGTTTACCACATAACCTTCTCTATCAAATTCAAGTAATTGAAATGACCAATAACAACAGAGCTTGTCGACTTGGTTGTTCAGTCCAGAAAATGAGACCAAATACTAATAAGGAAGTTTCTTTTTGAAAAGTGGTGGGGAAGTTCTCGCGACGATATTGTTGAACAAAATTACTGAGGTAACCACGTCGAGGGTGTCTATTCGCCTTAAAGATCGTTGATCTATATTCGTCTATTGTGTTTGAGATATGATATCTCGCGAACGCTTGCGATTGTTTTGACTCAGTACTCCTGGCCTTTGAGAGCTCGCCGTCAAAATTTGCGAAGCGTGTATTTGACTCCATATCAGAGATCGAGAACAGTAAATTATTACATAGTCTCTGAGCTTTCTTGAATGATATGGCGCAGCAGAAGAGAAGAAGATGCCTATAATTCTCGAGTGAGTATATTACTGAAGAAGAACGATGGTGTAAAGAATAACAGTGAGGGGGGATGTTGCGAGGGTTCCCACCATACCAGCTTGAATTTTTAGTATAGATAGTTGGCCACCAGATAAGGTAGAATAAATCGATTGGCAGATTCTAACGCGAATCAGAATATATCGGCGACGGCAAAGGTCAAAGTGGAGTTGATGTACATACTTGATGTAATCTAAAGTCTCGGTTTGCTTGAAGACTAGTGATAGATTTGCACTGTAAGGAATATCAAATTGATTCATATGAATACCTAGTGGTTATCAGGATCTTCCAAAGGATCATCTGCACAGAGATCTTAGATCTGTGGGGTGTAAGCTACGCAGGTGTCGATAATGTAGCCCGCGGAGCCAAGAATCAAAGACTTGTATCGATCGAACACGTTTATAATGGTCTTTCTCAAGACTTGAATAAGAAAGCTCGAACCTTTGAAGAATGCAAGAGAAAGAAATGATTAAAAAAATCAAATTGAAGTACTTAGTAGCTTTGCGTGACATTTTATTTGATGAAGGGATGTCTTGATGCTTGACTGGAGGAAAGCACCTGTAGCGATGTTTTAAAAGTCTTCTTGGATGTAGTAGATATATCTATCATACTAGGGAAGTACGGCGTGTGTCTCTTGCGCGGTGAACTATCCGGACCAACATCTGATCATGATGGGCTCTATTCTATATCTTCCACATCGTATATGCATCAATCCCAAACAAGATGGTCACTACCAGCTATCGAATGCATCCGTCTCGCCCGTCATGAATTGCCCGGTCCAAGGGGTAAACATACACCATTGTGCATTGAAAAGAACAAGTGTTTAAGCATCAATGACAAAAATATAAATCGTGTCAATCTAGACAACTTGTCTCTTGGGGCAGATACATTCTGATTGCTGGTGAAAGTGATGTCGGATATATGGGCTAGAAGCACAGTCAAAGCCAGCAAGCGTGGATTGAGTTTGAGAAGTAAAGCTATGGAGAATCCAATAGATCTGAAGTTTGCTACTCCACATATAGTGCTGTCACTGTATCAATCTGGGTCAATCCATTGTTAGAAGGTGCCCCTCCTGATTGAGCTAGTTGCGATGGTCGTCATTTCTATGCTCGCTATGATGGTGAATGCACGGACTCATGGAATTGATGAGAACACTCTGATTTGGTTCATGCCAGAAGATACATGGAGATACTCTCGTCGTCTATTATGCGGTAGACTGTTATGTTGACCAAGTTGGAGAGTATTCGAGAGAGATCTCCAAGGTTATCATCGACATCAAAGTCTCGATGTTTCATGAGTTCATGCGGTCGCTCAGTCAATCTTGCTTATTAATATTTCACCCCTATATAGCGTCTCCTCGCTGATAAGATAGCCAGCCCAGCCAAGCCAGCCTATTAGCTTCGATATGTGGTGCCCTTTGATTTCTCGGCTCATGACTTCATCATCGTTCGAAATCCCACCACTTCATTCTTTCTCTTAGTGAGTTGATCGAAAACTTTAATGATACCTCCTTGAACTTGAGAAATACCACAGAAAATGTCAATATCCCATAGAATCATGTTACATATTTCTTATTTTGCTTCTCTCACATCTATTTATAATAATTTATTTCCAACAGAATCTCCTAGAATTTGGGTTTGAGTGAAAGAAAGAAGAAAGAGTTTATTGATAGAAAAAGAGTGAATTGTGTTGTGTCTGCGTGCGCAATTGGGAGAGAAGAATCGACATCGAAATTTGCTTTGCATTGCCGCAATTATGGTGAATACTCAAGAGCTTCTGGCTCAAATGGAGGTATGTAATTCTTGAATTCATTCACTATCTCATTTCATTTTGAGTTTTCTATTTCTTTTGCTATATACGTTGTTGTATACGTTGTTGACGAATTACACAGTCAGAATATTGTCCCCCACTCGATAACAGTACGTTTCGTGCAATCATTGCAGATTACGATCTTTCCAACAAAGAGCAAATTGAGACTGCGCGCATGGTTTTGGACATGATAAGGAAAGATGCAGAGTTTGAAGAAGCTACTGGCTTCGATCCTAGTGGAACCTGGGGCGGAACATACACAAATAGAGGGGAAATTTCAGCAGAGCAGAATTCGCAGAATGGCAATAGCAGAAATGATGATGCGAGCACAAGCAGTAAAAGTGTACCTGGATGGAGTAGTTCTACAGACGACACATTAAGTCAGAGAACATCTTCACTAGATCTTTTAGAAGGATTGGACTTTCCTGGCAGTGAGGATACTTACAAGGGGTCTGACTTTACGGATTCTCTCGAGGGGATGGATGTGGATAGTCAAGAGAATTTCTTGCTTGCAACTTTCAAGACCCTGAAGCCTTTTGACGTCAAATATTCCCTAAAGAAGTCTAAAGGAAATGTTAATTTGGCAATCGAGGATTTGCTCAATCTATCATTCCTCGAGGAAACAGGATCGAGGAGACGTGGTATTGAAGCTTTTTCTGAAAGTTCCGCGTCACCTAAAACCCGCAAACAAAAAGGAAAGAGAAAAGGTCGAAAGACTGAAGCCTCTGAAAGCAACTCTATTGCAGACGATTCGCCCCTTACTGCTGAAGCGAGTAAATGGGAGACGGGTAGAAAAGATGTCGAATTTCTATCTACCAGAACCGGCTTACCGATGCAACAAATCACTTCATTGTACCACAATAATGGAGCATCTGTCAAAGCGACAATCTTATCAATTATCGAAAACTACCCTGCCACTGATATGGAAGAGGAAGACCCAATAATCGAAGTTCAAGCAATGGAACTCGGGGAAGCTTTTCCTTCAGTTAAACCCTCCCATATACTCATTCTCACTCAAATGACATATCCATATACAGCCAATGCACGTGAATTGGCAAACGCACTCATATCGACTCCCGTCTCCAAATCTGGCAAACCAAACCTTCAAATCGAAATTCGACATACGCCCCTCGTTATTGACCCCTCACCCACGGTTTTATCCGCCTCAAAACAATACTCTTTAAACGCCATCTACCCCACCCATTCCACCTCGTCTAATCCTGGTACACCACTCTCTCCCTCCACAGACGCAAGCCCTCACATCAACGCGCGCAACACTGCTTTTCAAAAAGCATCTGCTGCATACAAGAAATCCAGATCTAATCCTCTAATGGGCGGCGCAGCAGCCTATTACTCCCAACAAGGACGAGATGCCAACGTTCGTGTTAAAGATGCCGAAAGTGCAGCCGCAGACGAATTGGTCATGAGTCAATGCTGGAACGGTGGTATAGATTTACACGGAGTTGGAGTCCGAGACGCAGTGAGAATTGCAAGAGAGAAAGTAACCATGTGGTGGGTTTCGGAGGAACGGAGAAGACTCGGCGGTGGATACATACGAGCGGGACCACAAGAAGGATTTAAAATCGTAACGGGCGTGGGAAATCATAGTGAAGGTGGAAAAGGGAAGTTGGGACCTGCAGTAGCGAGAATGTTGATTAAAGAAGGGTGGAAGGTACAGGTTGGGAGTGGTGCCTTGCTTGTTACGGGGGTGGCGAGGAAGTAGAGATATTTTTGGTAGATCTTTTTCTTTGGAGGGTATAAAAGCAGGCGTACTTGATGGTGTCTTTTGGGTATTAGGTGATGACGAAAGGCGTTTTCAGCGATTGTGTGGGTGGATTATGGAGTTTGGATAGCTTCTCAGTGAATGTTGTTTTGTTTATGAATATGAACGGACAAAGTGTTTTGCAAATTTATGTATAGATAGATTTTATAAGCGTCATTAGAGTAGATTAATATACTCAAATTTTGCATAACGGTATACGAGCAACGATGGTGATATTGAAGTAAGTGAGCACGATGAGGAGTATATGTAAATGCAATTGCTATGCCTCAAGTACCTAGGTAGGTATCTATTGTATCTCTCGCTAATGCGTGCTAGTGCTAATGCTAATGACTCCCAATTCTACAATCATAATCTCAAAATCTCATCTATGCATTCCCTTTTCCCCTCTCACAATCTTCCATCCCCTCACTTCAAACTACCCACACCTCCTTCAAACTCACCCACATCATACTCCTCCGGGTATTCCTCCATCACCGTCCTCAACTCCTCCATCTGACTCTTCAGCTCCGGCGTCATCTCTTTATACACATCCTCAAACATACTTTTAATCGGCGGTTTCTTTTCCTTCTCCGCCTCGCTCAGTTTCTTCAAAACCTCCTTTTTAATATTCGTCCGCGCTTCGATCTCCTTTGCTTCATCCCACACATTTCTCTTTTCCAAGTACTTCCGCAGCCGCGTAATCGGATTATCTCTGCGTTTCCAATCTTCGACTTCGACGCGCGCGCGGTACGCAAAGGAATCATCCGAGGTGCTGTGGTGGGAAATGCGATAGGACATTGCTTCGATGAGGACGGGGCGCCCGCCATCGGTGAGCGCCAGCTCGCGCGCTTTCTTGGTGACTTGCAGCACGGCCCAGATGTCGTTGCCGTCGACGCGGATCGTGTCGATGCCGTAGCCGGTGCCGCGGCTGGCGATGCCGTCGCCCCGGTATTGTTCGAGTGTGGGGGTAGAGATGGCGTACCCGTTGTTGCGGCAGATGAAGATTACAGGGCAGGAGCGCGTAGCGGCTATGTTGAGGGCGCCGTGGAAATCTCCTTCTGAGGCGGCTCCTTCGCCAAAATAGCAGGCTACGACTCGGGGAGGGAGAGAGGGATTTTGGAGACGTTGGAGTTTCAATGCGTATGCTGCTCCTGCGGCGTGGGGGATTTGAGTTGCGAGAGGAGAGGATATAGAGTGCTGCATTTGTTAGCTATTTGAATTCTATTCCTTCTCATTTTTTACGTCAAGTTTTGGGCAATATAAAAAGAAAACTCACAATATTCAACTCCTTACTCCCATAATGCACAGGCATATTCCTTCCTTTCCCCTTATCCTTCCTATTGGCAAAAAGCTGGCTCATAAAATCCTCCAGCGTATATCCCCTTTGCATAAACACACCCGCCTCTCTATACTGACTAAAAATCACATCGTCCTTCTCCAACGCCGCCGCCGATCCCACACAAGTACCTTCTTCGCCCTGACTCGGCATGTAAAAGCTCAATCGACCTTGTCGCTGTGCTTCAACCATTATAACATCCATAATAGATACTTTTATCATGTTGAGATACATTTCTAACGCAGCTTCGTCGGAGGGGAGAACAGCGGATGGATCGAGGATGTCGCCGTCGGGGGACATGGTGCGGTAGGTAGGAATGGCAGTGTAGGTAGAGGGGTATTCAAAAGAGAGGGAGGAAGTAAATTTACTGTCTACTGCTCCGGGGAAGCGTACTCTATGTTTTTATTAGCAATTAACACTCTGTTTTAATTCAATCGAAACTCACCCTGCAGACCCAGGTTTCTGACTTGGTCCCACGGTAGAATGACATCTTGCCGACCATACTCCATGAATCTTGCTTCTCGAATAAGATGTAGAGATTCTTCCCCTCTTACTTCCCCGCAAAAGACATCCTCCAATTCTCTGTGAATTCATAATTGTTTGCTTATCTGACTTCAGTGATCAATTTAACAATCTCACACCTAAACCTCAATATAACATTCCCAAGCAGCAAATTGACCGTTTGAAATAATCAATTCGAAAACATCAAGAAGAAATCTTTAACATCATTTCAATACCAACCGGGACCTTCTTAAATACAAAACAAAAAGAGCGTCCGGCACAAGAAAGATCAACACAGATACTGGGGACTCCAACCGTGCTAAAACACTGGAGACCAAGGCTGAAATCTGGGGTAATGCCGTCGATAACCGATCCACTCCCATCCCTTGTTCCGCTAGCTTCCTTCTTCACCAAACCACTAGCCGGAGAAAAAACTTGGCAAGGCTGACGAGGCGAGAAATTTATCGGGATTTGGAAAGACTCGGGGGACATTTTGTATTCCCATTTGTTTTATAACTCCGTCTAGTTCTTGTACCTACCACGGAATCATAGTCATCCAATTCAGAATGGCTTGCAGATCAGCACTTAGACCTTTAACCAGGTCTGCCAGAACTCAATTCGCTTCGAGATGCTTTTCCACTTCGAGTTCGATACGTCAAGCCGATTCATCGTCGACACAAACATCGTCTGCGGGTGCATCGAATGGTGATAATGGACGAACCACACATTTTGGATTTCAGACTGTGCCGGAGGCGGAGAAGGAAGCTAGAGGTGTGTTCAATGGCTTGAATATTCAATGATGGGGCGATTAGATTGCATGAGCGAAAGCTAATTCGTACATCGTGCTAAATAGTTGCGGGAGTCTTCAGTAATGTGGCAGCCTCGTACGATACCATGAATGACTTTATGTCATTGGGGATTCATAGATTATGGAAGTATGTTTAGTCTTTCTTGCATTCTCTTATTCAATCTAGACAATCTTTCCACATACATCCACATATAACATCTACTAATCCCGACCCCAGAGACCACTTCGTGCGCTCCATAAATCCCGGTTTCACCCCTCCTATCTCCTCTACCTCCACCTCCTCCTCTCCCCAAGGCTGGAAAATGCTCGACATAGCCGGCGGCACCGGAGACATCGCCTTCCGCCTCCTCGACCACGCAACCAACATCAACAAATCCCCCTCCTCCAGCATAACCATATCCGACATCAACCCTGAGATGCTAGCCGAAGGGCGCAAACGCTCGCTGCAAACCTCCTATGCCCATTCCCCGCGTCTCAATTTCCTCCTCGCAAACGCCGAGTCTCTGCCCATGGTGCCCTCCAATTCCCTCGATCTCTACACCGTCGCCTTTGGAATCCGCAATTTCACAAATAAAGCTGCGGCGTTGCGGGAAGCGCACCGTGTTTTGAAACCCGGTGGACTTTTCGCTTGTTTAGAATTCTCGGATGTGACCAATCCGTTGTTTAATGCCATTTATAAACAATGGAGTTTCTCAGCGATACCATTGATTGGTCAATTGGTGGCGGGAGATAGAGATAGCTATCAGTACTTGGTAGAGAGTATTGAGAAGTTCCCTAAACAAGAGGAATTCAGGGACATGATTAAGGAAGCCGGATTTGTGGTTCCTGGAAAGGGCTGGGAGGATTTGACAGGTGGAATTGCAGCCATCCACAAAGGCATTAAACCTCTAGAGAAGTAGACAAGGGGGTTATCCTATTTGCTAGAAATCCACTTTGATATTGCGTTGTCTCTATGAGTTTGAATCATTCCGACTCTCGAGTAAATCACGTTAGAAGATCTGTAAAACTCCACCATGTAAAATGTATATACACGTTATTGTACGATACCATAAACTTGAAATATCACAATGAGAAATCACAAACACATTTACTAAAAATTTAATTGATGTTTTCTATGCGTCTGCAATCGTTTGACAACCAACCCCTTTCTGACACCTTGCAACCACCAACCTTTCAATTCTCATGTTTTCCCCTAGGGAAATTTGAGGCAAAGACTAGAATACATGTGCAGCGCTATTCATAGATTCGTTTCGAATATCTCATTCCATAATGAGATCCATGATATGATGCGACTCAAAGCTACCCGTATCAAAAGTACAGATGCGAAGGAAATAGAACGAGCTAGTAGCTATCATCGCCTGCACACAAATAAAGGTAGGAACCGTGAAGTATGAGCAAATGTTTGTAACTCCACTCCGGTACCTTAGAATATTTTTATGAGGACGAAAAAAAGCCGAAATACTAATATGGCTGAGCCTCTGTCAAGATAGATATCTTCTGTTCACAATAAGTGACCGTTTAGAAGATGTACTGTACGAGAAATATGACTTTTTGGTGCGAGAAAATAATGAAAACTGGTGATGTATGATGTCGGATGTTATCGTTGATCAAGAATCACCTCCTGCTGGTGTAGCCGAAGCTAGAGCAGGGGATGCTCCACCTTCCTTATTGAAGCCACCTCGTCCGCCACGTCCCCCTCTACCTCTATCATTTCCTCTTCCACGGGTAGATCCACCTCGACCACCTCGACCGCCTCGGCCACCTTCGCTGTCGCTAGCACCCCCACTTCCGTAACCACCTCGGGGAGCACTGCTGTTTCCGCCTCTGCTGCTACCCCAACTGCCGGCACCTCCGCGGCTTGAAGAGTAAGACTTAGTATTATCTCTAGCCTGGAATAACTTCACCAAAGGTCTTGAGCGATCCTCACTGCTGCGTTGTGTGACCTCTGCAGGTAGACGACCTAGAGCATCGTCTCTCTCCTGAGTGGTCTTGAAGACGGCAACCTTGTTGGATGCACCCCATTTATCGACTCGAATAATCTTTGCCTTGTCATCATCGTGGAACAAGTCGCGGACATGATCTTCTGAGTTTACATTCATAACGAAGAGACCAATGATTTGTTCGGCAGAAGGCTTAGCTGCTGGGGATGAGCTGTCTGTACCATTTGTGGTCGCGGGAGTCTTCTCTTCCTCTTTGGCAGATGGTAGGTTAACAACATTGTTTTGAGCTGGTTGTGGTGTGGCAGGCTTGGCTTGGAATGGAGCTGGTGACTCTGCGGTACGTTCAGGACCAGCTGGTGGAGCTCTGGTTTGTTGTTGAGCTTGTCCTCGTTGACCAAAAGGTTGCGCTGGAGGTTGTGCGGCGGGTGAACGCTGAGCTGGCCCAGTAGGTGGTGCAGAGGATACAAGATTTTGGCTTGATCCAGGTGTTCCAGAGCCGGTCGCAGGTGCTTGTGCTTGTTGCTGTTGGTGACCTGGGTGTTGCTTTGCACCTCGATGAGCGAAGTTGAATCCTTGAGCTCGCATTTCGGTACCGATGCGTCCATCCTGAACTTCCAAAACCAACCATCCAAAGGCAGCATCAGCTAAGTTAAAGTTCCACATATTTTTGAAAGCACTTTCGTCAACTTGGCCCAAAGTAGCGGCATTAGAACCACCGACGGGGCCGCCGAATGGGTTACCTCCATGTGCGGTGCTTGGCATCTTCTCTACAATACCAAGTGCGTTGTTAAGAAGGTTTTGTTGAGCTTCGTTTTGAGAAATGGCCGGTTGAACTTCGCTCTTGACTGTCTCCCATACGTCATTGAAGGAAGCTTTGGATGCTGCGAGCTTACCCCGGTAATGATCCAAGGTAGGGTTGACACTGAATTCGTTGTAGGAGCTTCCGTATCTGAAATGAAGTCCTGCGGATATCGAGAAGTCGGCTTTGAGGGTAACTGAAAGCTGGTTCAAAATACCCTCGCGAGCTGGTGACGCATGGGTAATAAATACGCGGGTTTCGGTAGGATCGTATACACGATTGGCGGTATCTACCAGCTCTCCCATTTGAAGTAATGTAGTCCACATGGTTCCTTGCCCACCAGCAATTGTGGTTCTGCCCTCACCATTATCGAAAAGTTTATGCATGACAACTGCGCCACCAAGTCCGAGAAGTCTCAACTTAACGCCTCCAATTTCCAAAAGCATTGAGCGTGCCTCATCAATGATGTGAAGTTTGTCAACCTTGTATTCGCCCGATCTGAATTTTTCGAGGACTCGCACATCTTCACACGCACCCCAGACAGTGTAGACTGGTACATCAAGCTTCAGACTGCCATTAAGGAACTGTGGTAATTCGGAAAGTGGAAGGTCGCCAGGACTGAATCTCGACTTCACTGGGCCCCCCGGTGCTGCGATTGCCTTTTTCGTAGCTTCTGTAATCAAAGGAGAGTATTGAGCGACATGTTTGAGGGTTCTATTGAATTTTGTTAGTGGATGATCTATAGTGCTGAGCTGGATGCTGAGCTCACTTTTCTGCAATGCGATCGAGAGAGGTGTCATCATAAAAACCGAAATCTCCTGTATGAATAATGTGATCTGCGCGTGCTTGCTTTGCGAGTTCATTGAGTGATCTTAAATTTCCTTCCGAGTTGTCAGCGTTGCCTGAAAAGTCAAATCTTCAGGTCAAGCTCACCTCGTACGTCTGCCACACACAAAACTCTCACACCTCCAGTTTGTATGATTCTACCGTTGTTTGGGAGTAAAGGAGTAGCTCCAGGCGGGATACCGGTATGACCTGCTACAGCACCATTTGGCATATAAGCTTGGTTATAGCTAGGTTGTTGGGGAGGGAGTCGTTGCTGAAACATTGGATCTGTTAGCTTGGGATGTACTGGAAACTTCTGAAAAACGGAAGAGTAAGTGGGTCGTCTCCCGACAATGAAAGAGCTTGCTAGAGCCATTTTCGATCGAATGAGACGGTAAAGGAGTAGAGGAAGTTGGAAAGAGATTGTAGGATTGACGATTATGTTTGAAATGGTATTCCACTCACAGAATTGGCCATAATTCACAAGATCGTGGTGATTCACAGTTCGATAAGGAAGGCGTAAAGAGGTGAATTATTCTATGCGCTTTCTTCGTCGAAACAAGTAGGTACGATGGAGGAGATTAATTAAAGGGAGTAAAAGAAGGTGGTATGTAGTAAGGTTTTGGTTGAGGAGGGAAGTACCTTTTTCGATGATTGAAGTTGAGTGAATCTCTTTCGCGCGGCTCACAACCAAATTGGAAACCTAAGGAAGACAACATCCCTGTCACCTTCAGCTTGATTTGGGAGCCACACTTTGCTGACATCAAACCTCACTTCAAACGTCACTTCAGACTTCACTTGGGAAAGTCAATTTACGGGTTTCAACTGAATTTTAAGTATATACGGTAATTTGTTACAATTATTATACTTGAAATTACTACCTAGTACCCAAGTAGGTATTATTACAAGATTTTTTATTACATCCATACACATATACTTGTCCGTTTACCATTTCAAATCATTTCTATATCCTTTTGGTAGCTAGACAACAAGATTATGAGAGTGAGCAGAAGCTGAACAACCCTTCAATGTCTTCACTGCCATTCCTTTGCCATTTGTCCCTACCTACGTATTCCCAAGCAGTATCCAGAACACTTGGTCGACCATGATATCTGAGAGTGAGCTGCCTCAAACTTTCAACATACAATGGGTCATCACTAACATCACGTGGGTGGGCGTATCACAAACCTTGGTAATTGCAAGCGCAAGTGAAAACATGGACCTCCGAACCTAGACATCAAATAGCCATCATATATCTCAGGTGGTAAGTGAATGAGGTTAGGTACAAACAACTCCCAACAAGAGGGGTAGATTTTTTCACCCTTCTCATTTATTAACCTCAAGGTTCCTGTCCACTTCAGACACATGATATCCATTCTGCATTGCTGTGTTATCCGGTAAACGGATATTCACCAATGTCGAGTCTGTGATTCCTTTGCTCTCTTTATATTTTCCAGTCACCTGTTCAATCCAAGAAATCCAGAAGAAAACGTGTGGCGATTGTGGGAAGCTGGGGATGGGTCGCTGCATCTCTCCATCTTTCGTGCTTTCTCCGTATCTAAGTAAGGTAGGAAGTTATGCTCAAATTCCTTTTTCCGTCCTAGTGACCAATCTGCGGTCATTTTAATCTATACGGCCCCGTAGAAGAAAGTTTCATGCCAAGATCGATTACCAAACTTCTGTCGATCAAGAAACACACACTGCCTGCCTAGTGCTTCGTTGGATCGGTATTCGCTAAAAGAAGTATCGAAATACTAAATGCCAACTTACTGGTACTTCTATATCGAAGATAACCTCCACTTCAATATGTCTGCAACGAAGCCTGAGAAGTTGAACAAGTAAGTGTTCCTTCTTCATCTTTGAATACTCGCTGATTGAGTATAGACTTCTTAGCTATGCCATGATTCACATTCACGTTGGAAATAACCTCAAGGATTTCGGTGTCCACAAGTATCTTGCTTGTCATCATTCACCATACTTTAAAGCTGCTTTATACTCAGGGCTTGAGGAAATTACAACTGGGATTATAAAATTTCCGGAAGTCAAAGTGGAAGTTTTCGAATTATTCTATCATTGGCTGTATAGTCAGGACTTTATTACATTTGCCTTTGTGGGACCCAACCAAATCGAGTTCTAAGGTCCGTATCACGAGGAACTTGGGAGCACAGTGGGTGGTGCATGTATTGACGGGACACCTCCCAACGTTCGAAATTTTGAACAAATTTGTTTTTCAATCACTTGATACTAAAAGTTATCTTTTGATTGTTTTATTTCTAGTGAATAATTTGAAGAATTTTTAAGATATAGAATTTGATATATCAAGAGATATTCACAAGTCCATTCCTGCAGTGTCCCGTCGGTCTGTACACGCACTGGTGGAGAGAATCATAGCGTGTGTGCTTTTTGCAACCAGGAAGATACATATTACGTTAACAGCGCCTGTGATAGAGACTCGAACAGCTGGCTTGGATTTACGCATAACAATAGTTGCCCTTTGCATTTGTTTTGTAAAAAGCAACTGAAACTGCTTTCAAAGCTCTACGTATTTGCTGGCATGACACAGATTCCCGTACTCCAGAACTATTGCATCGAAAAGTTTCATGTAATCGTGAACTTGAGAAAGCGTGTCCCTGTCGAGCTCATAGAATATATTTGGGGAAACACAATGGAACATGACAGACTTCACAAACTCATAATCGACATGATGTTATGGGAAACGGCTCCAGAATTCAGCCTCTTTGTACCCAATCCCATACCGACTCTCGTTCTGGATGAAGTTTACTCCACCATGAGAAAATATTTTAGAGCTGCTGTTCATGAAACTAGGGGTGCATAAAGCAATCCTTTGTGGAATATCGAAAACTATTTTATAAACGTCGATAAGGAGAAAGATGGTATGTTTATCTAGGCATGTCAGCTGGATTTTGATTTGCAGCATTGCATTGAATGGGCCGAACTATATCTTTGGTTTTTTGGTATCTAGGAATTCTACCACAAGATCGAAAGCTGTATAATTCCACCAAGTTAAAGAAATACAGGTCAGGTTATGGCCAATTTATTCTGCAATATACCGTTCAATCTCATAATTTGTGATTACCGTTGATTACGGAGCACAGTTCAATCAACGTGCAAATTAGTAGACGGGGATTTGGCAGTGCTCAAAATCACAATCACTATCATTACGGGTCGTCTCAAGGCAATCGTGGGACATCTTACACAAGTTCTTTTTTACAATTGATTTCTAATTCAACCTTCCAATCAAATGAGTATCATCATGTGATATCTTGAAGAAGGTGCCTCTCATCGTGCCTTCCCAATACACAACTTTCCTTCTCACTTCAACGACACACCCTTAAATCAATGTTTACAATTTGAGTACCGCCAACATTAACTCCTTCCAATGCAACCACACAAATCTCAGTTATATCGCAACTTTCTGTGCCTTTGTGGTTTACATTTATCCATTGTCCTACTGGGACTGGAGTATTTGATTTTGAAGTGCATGTCTATCTGGATGTGCCCCCTTCCATTCTCGATGATAGTTGATCTTAAACTCGTCGTCTGTGTGCCTAACAGTCTTCATTTATATTCAAGACAAGTTGTGAATATTTGAAACTGATCTAGCATCTAGTGTGAAGGAATTGTCTACTGTGCCATAGCAAGGAGTAGAAGAATCACATGAAGATGCGACGAAAGAGTCCTGCTCGCAATATCGGAACAAAAAGTCTTGTTTTCTATTGCTTCTTGAATTCTGCACCGGACTTTGCACCGAATGGTGACAAATCATTGTGGCTGGGTAAAGGATCTTGCGCATATTGAGAAGTTCTGGCAGCTTGTCTCGAAACTGGTATATTCGAGTATTGTCCTATAATGGAGTCAAAAAATGTGTCTCATCCCTTCTTGTAACTTTTATAGTATCATCAAAAGCGCATCATGCACCTTGTTTAAACCTACTTCATACAAACCTCTTAGGCTTCTACATTTTCGGGGAACTCGCATAATATCACGCACTCTTACACATTCTCAAATTCTGAGCATGCGCAAACGATAAACCTATGCTGGTACCGGGAGTCAAGCTTTTCTTTACTTGTTTCTTGAACATATAGCTTTTGAGGAGAGTGCACACTTTGTCGGCTGTTGATGAATCTTTAGAAATTGTCATTCAAAACATGAATGTAAGCACATATTCTGGCCATCAAGAAAGCGAACTTAGTCAATTCTCCTCGTTGAGTCTAGTTGATCTTATAAAATTAGTTCGGCGGATAATTTTGGGGGTGCTCAGGAACTTGTGGAGGAATTTCATAAAAATAACCCACACAAGCCTCATCCTGGGGTGAAATACTACTAGTTCTATTCTTCTTTTCTTGTGTGGGGTCGAGAGTTCGACACCCATAGAGTTTTCCATGTTCGGCTTGCAGGAAAATAGCCAAAGCTATTCGGGTTCTGAATCTCAATGGCTATGTTAAATAGTTTGGAATATTAAATTCGCCTCAGAAATGGAAGCTCTTTTAGTCTATCAGTCCGGACCATTGAACACCTTGGACTGTTGTGCCGCATGATGTATGAAAAGTGCTTGCATACTCATGTAGTCACTGATCAGTAGGTAGCTTGTGGAAAATTCCTCGCAGTCCTGAGAATTTACTCGTTGTTGCAAAAATCTTCATTTCTTCTCTTAACACTTCCGAGGAATGTTCTTCGGGATAGCACATCACTCCCCACGGGGCTTCCAGTCAAAGAGGATGTCTGTTTAGTATTGATTAAAGTACCATTATATCGTTCATTTATCTAAAATTAGGCCAGCGCGCCACTTTCTATCTAATTATTCCAACGCGAGTGTTCTAATATGCCCATCAGTCTTTACACAATCTCCCATCCGAAGCTACAGTCACCAGATCACTCCCAACAGACGTATGAGCATACAAAATAAAATTTGGATCATAAGACATCTTCACGTCCAGCAATTGGTCGTAATTCTCACCATAATAATCCTCCTTCCATGTTGGATTGTCAAAAGTTGCCTCATTCATATACGATCCACCACCAGGGGTCAGGACTTTAAATTGATCTTGGAATGCATTTACCTGCGCTTGAATCTGATGTATTGTCTCTCTTGAAGCTGCTGCCTCGATGCCAACGTCAACATTTAGCCAATAGAGAGAATCGCGCCATGCGGGAAGAACAGCATTGGAGCCTACATGGTTCCCAACGCGAGAATGTGTCACGTTAGCGGCTATTCCGTTGATGCGTATTGATGTTGCGGGACTTCCGGTCGTGCTGATAATGTCTTTGAAAACAGAAATCAAACTACTGACATTGTTCTGGATGGTCGAGCGGGGAATCAGGCGTCCTCCGATAATATCATTTGTCGTATAAGGTCCATATGGGAGACTTCCAGTGTAATGCTCGTAGTGGTCGTAAAAATTTGGCCGGTCACTTGTTTCATATGCTGCAAATGTTATGTTCATCGCTTGGATCTCTTCTTTGTACGAAGCTAATGCTTCGGCCATCGTCAGGGCATCTCCACCCGGCAATGTAGCAAATGCAAGGTTGAATGCATCGCTCGTGAAGCCCCAAACGGTGGTAAAGCCTAGTATTTAGTCTAGAACCAAAAGATGCTTTTGCCAAGCTTCAATTGCAGACCAGTACCTCGCATCACCAGTATTGTTGATGGTGAATGATCCACCTGCAACTATACCGCCGGGGTAAGCTTTTGTAGTCAACGAGATTACCACGGCGTATGTGCCTCCTCCGCCACCGCTAAGTGCCCAGTAAAGGTCCGAGTTTTCCGTAGGAGTTGCGATAAGATGGCGACCATCAGCGGTCACAACTTCATATTCTAATGCATTGTCTGCGCTGAGACCGTACGTAGCTCCGAGAGGACCATGGCCGCCACCTTGCACATATCCACCAGCCATGCCTACAGTTGGGCAAAAGCCACCCACAACTCGCAGACTGTTCTCAGCAGCGATTTTATAAGCTTCAAAGAACTGAACTCCAGCTCCAACTTTGACCGCAGGACCAGTGTAATTGGTGCTGGTATAATCGAGAAACGAAATATCTTTGAGGTTATGCGTCCATAGTGCGAGGGATCCTTCGCCGTTGGACCTACCAATGTAGTCGTGGCCAGTATTCTTAATTGTGATTCGTACCTTGTTCTCCGTTGCAAATTTCAAACCGGCAATAACATCAGCAGCGCTGCTGACGTTGATGGCATAAGAAGCAATATTTCCCAGATTGCATGTCGCATTTACATAATTAAAAGGACTACAAGAATCATTCAGCCAGTATGGTGCCATGATATTGACTAGATCCGTGAAACTTTATGTCCGAATTAGCTTCAGGTTTCTGAGCAAAATATACGTCGAGTTTGAGAAACGAATCAGGACTTACTATGTGAGTGGTGCTGTCCAAATATCTTCCATCTCTGTACATTCAGCCAAGTCATAGTCAGAATTGTGGCAGCTTTGAGCCAAAGGCTTTCCGAGAATGAGTTTCCCATTGATCGATTGGTTCAATTGTTGCCAATTTGCAAGACTAGGCCACTAAAGATCGGCTGGGAGGTAGTGACAGTTACTTCTTGGCTCAAGAAATCCATCAGATCTCTTTGCTGGCGCGGCAGTCACGGTTGGAAATCCAAAAAAAGCCGCAGTTGCGGCCAGAACAGACGATGAATATACAAGCATTGTCTCTGATTCAGAAATTGGTAATAGACGAAGGGAGAAAGCACCTCACTAAATCATTCGGATCGATAATCCACAGGAGTGAAATCTTAAGTCTTGCCGTCATATTTATGATAATTCGGTTCTCCCTGCCAAACTCTAATCGTCACCGCGTCTACACAAGATTTCGTAAGTTCTATTGTCCATCGTGTGAGCAAGTGTCAGCCCTAAGGACATTGTTAAATTGCGTATAGAGTTTGACTTGAAGGATCAGGTACCGATCCATATTCCATATTGCTCAGTCCTCTTTCGCACCGATAACGATTACGAGGTGAAGTGTCGTGCCATTCGCAATCACTATCGGCAAAATCTCGTTGAAGGTTTACGTGTAGGAGGATATCGTGAAGAGCTAATCGATCTGGGATCAAATCCTTCCTCCTAAAACTTTGTGCAAGAAAAGGTTTAATGAAATCGTCGCACTGTATATTTGACATACCTGTAGTGCTTAGACTCCGCGGAAGATGACAAAGTAAATTTCGATAGCCAATCCCGTCGGGTACGCATGATGCAAGGTGAGCATAAACGCGGCTAATTGCTTACTTTGCATGACTAGCCGACTCGCTAACCCCACAATTATTCCCAGGTAATCCCTAACCCATGTTACCGAGCGTTTATATGCAACTTGCTGACCTTGCATGAAGCTTATCCCGTCGATCCGTACCTGACATTCCCGTTCCAATATGACCTCCTTCGTGGTGTTTGTCATCATGGCTTTTATCACCACTTCTTGAACCAAATTGGTAATACACATGCGGAAATCAGCACTCAAGACGATGGCATCAGTCTTCCAGAGTATGCAGAGTAATACCACACATTTCTTATTCCGCTTGCATTTGTAACGCTTGATTGAAAGCTGCCACCGTGGAAATTTTATTGATATAAAGATGCTTCTATGACTTTTTGAATTGCGATTCGACATCGACAATCAGATCGACAATCGCTTCTTTCTCATAACTTAGTCTCTTGCATAATTTTCAATCCAATACTAAGTCATCATGGCACCAACTATCATTCTCATTTCCGGCGCCAACAGAGGCATTGGCAAGGGAATTCTCGAACTTTATCTTTCTAAGCCAAGCCACACTGTTATTGCCGCAAACCGCGATCCAAACCATCGTTCCTCCAAAGCCCTCGCTGATTTGCCTACAGCTGAAGGCTCGTCCCTTGTCCTGATCAAAGTTGATGCTACTGTCTCCACAGATGCACTCGAGGCTGTGAAACAATTAGAATCCCAGGGTATTGACCATGTTGATATTGTGATTGCGAATGCTGGCGTTTGCTACGCTTGGCCCAAAGTTTCGGAAGTAAAGGCCGAAGATATTCAAGGGCATTTTGTTCCAAATGTACATGGCTTTATTTGGCTGTATCAAGCTACACTACCCTTATTGAAGAAGTCCAAACTCGGAAAATTTATCTCCATTGGTTCTTCCGCTGGATATCTCACGGTACGTCTGCTCTCAATTCTCAGTTCACAATCGTAACTGTTGACTAACAATGTTCCATATAGTAATTGATCCTTTTCTTCAAGATTAATCACGAGTGATCAGAATGAACAATATGTATTAATATCTTACAGGAACCAATTAGACATGCCAAATTCGGCCTACGCGCCTTCTAAAGTATCAGTACATTGGCTTACAAAAGCTATTCATCGTGAAGAGCCAACTCTTATAGCTTTCCCTATTGATCCCGGGTAAATTTCATCTTATGGTTCCTGTAGTGGGAAATTATCTTCGTCTTTGAATCCTGCTAACACGCTATCTAGATGGGTCCAAACAGACCTGGGAAATATCGGTGCTAATCACTTTGGCTTTGACGCAGCTCCTCTGGGAGTCGCAGAATGTGCTGCTGGATTGGACAAGGTCATAGCCGAGAGCACCAGAGAGACCCACGGAGGAAAGTTGTATAAGTGGGATGGAGAGGTTCTCCCTTGATAGAGGTGGTCTTCTGGTAGCCACTCACAATATATGCTAGATTAAGTATAGAAGCGAAAACGTGTACTTCAACCAAATCAAATTCCCATATTGAAACTCTGCCAGACGGCTTCGAACAGTTTAGTTTGTAGACTATCGCTGTTGGTATCATCTTCTATCGATACTGACTAGACTCTGCCTCGCGTGCGATTCCAAGGACACGAAATTTATGTTCTTCTCAAAAGTGATTCATAGATGCTAGGCATTTTATATGCTTTGGAAGTTTTTGACAAACCGATGAGGATTCTATTCTACATTCAAAATCAGCTCTGGATTTCATAGTGACCCTTGGAAGTTAAAGTTAATCCCCGCTCATCGGTCAGTTAAGAGCAAATATCGTGCCGAGACATGTCTTTGAAAGACATGTCAAGGATTAATACTCCACATGTGTCACGTCTTGGAAGAATTTGAACATTCCCATCTTGTCAATTACCACTCTAAAGGCGCAATTGTGCCAAGCGATTTAAAAGGACATAGTTGAGGTCACATGAAGAGTCGCAAGTCGACAAGAGCTAAAGCAGGACACATTTCACATCACCATATCATAAGAAGTTTTAAGTCAGTTACTTGCAAAGTAGCTAGTGTAGGTCCACCCATCTTTGCGAGATCAATCAACAAAGCTGTTCGAACCTTTTCCCGCTAGATCCTTGCAAAAAAAAAATGATATTGCGCGAATTTCATGAATAGCTTGCCTATTTTATGCAAGCTTACGATCCATATTTTGAAAACGTTGATGCTACTCTTGCGCCTGGAATTCATTCTAAATTCTCCCAAAAAAAAAAACTATCTAGTCTATTCTCGCCTATTCTCAAATCCCATTTCTTCTCATTTGCAATTCAGCAACCGTTCTTCCCCCAGAATCATTTGGATACTGTCTAATTTCTTATCTTAACGCGTAAACCTGGACTACCTTTTGCGGGGAAAGGTATAATATAATCGTGATTTAAATCAATGTCTCTTTCACGGACCGTGTCAAATAGGTCCAACGTCGGTCCGTCTTGTCCGCGATAAATCTCATACTTCTGAATAATAGCCGCAAGAACTAGGGACATTTCGAGACGTGTAAAGTTCATCCTATTTTTACACACACATTTTAGTTAATTCATACTTAACGATGTTCCATAAATTTTGACATACCCAATGCAATTCCTCGTACCTCGAGCAAAACCAACAAAGGCCTTGTCGAGTCTTGGATTGTCAATCCACCTCTGTGGACGAAACTCGCATGGATTTTCAAAAACATCTGCATTCATATGTGCAATTTGAGCAGTCATATTCGTCAAGGTACCAGCTGGAATGATATACTCTTTGTCGTTTTTCTTGTCATGGTACAAAGTCGGAGCTTTGGGAGAGACTCGTGGCAAGCGTGAGACAACGCCGGGATGAATGCGAATTGTCTCTTGAATCACTGCGTTCAGGTATGGTAGGATTTCCACCTCAGAGAAAGATGGGAGGCTATCTGAATTTGGAATAGCTGCATTTATCTCTTCCTTTACCTTCTCAAATTCCTTGGGATTAGCGAGTAGCTGAAAGAGAGCAGATTGAAGCGTATAGGCTGTGTTGATGTTAGCTAGATTCCCTAGCTCTAAAGATTTTATTGTAATATATGTTTAACACATACCTGTTGTACCTTCTCCTGCAAGTACAACCAACTGTGCTTCATGTGCTAGCCTAAGATTGGTCTTCTCCTCATCGGGAAGTTTACTACTCCATACGCCTTCAAAAATCGTAGTCTTGATTTTTTCAGGGTTCGGAGAATTTCTAACTTCATCGACACGTTTTATCCACATCTGATATACTTGAGATCAGTACGCTAGAATGTCTTAAATTATTGAGCAACTCACAGCTGCCTTATCCCACATTTCGGTCAAAGATGGTATAAAGGTTTTGATAGCCCAAGGTGGTGCCGATGCGAGCAACGTACCAACCCATGGAAAGTGACAGAAGGTATGATTGAGTTAAAGAAGACATCAGTAGATTCCATATAAGGTATGGAAAAATCTTCCTGCTCTAGGAAATGGAAAGATTCTCCAAAGGCATACTGAGTAATAAGATCGCTGGTACAAGCCCGGAATACAAAATGCATTGGTAAGACTTGGTCCTTCGTTCCAGCACCTTACATTCTAGATAGAAGAGTATTGATGTGTTCTTTCATGACAGGCTCCAGTCTACGAATACTAGCATTTGAAAAGAAATTGGTGATTGTGTTGCGTCTTTTGCGGTGCATATCATGATCGATGGTCGCAACGATGGAGTTTTGAGCTGTGATGAAACCAAAAAAGTCAGCTTGGGAAGCTTAAATGAAACTTAGCGCGAGGCGGTTAAATCTTCTTCGATTCTTACTTTCTGTTCTTCTACCAGTGAAGAAATATTTGTCAGTTTGTCTCCCGGGTCCAGGAAAGACAGAATCGATAAAAATCCGGGTCATTCAAGTGAACTTCATAGGGATTGATACGGACAATAGGGCCTGAAACTCCCATGTCAGTAAGTTGCAATATGAGCAGTGTGGGAAATATGCCATATTTCTTATGCATCTCGTCGATCTTTCGGTAATATGTCCCTCTGTTGGTATCAATTTGGTGTTGATTAAAGTGTAAAGTACTTCATTCTTATCAATATAATTGATTATATTATTCGTCTTGATTATTATTAACTATAAAAAGCTAATACTTGATATAATAGAAGTACTAATGCTAGTATATACACTAATATATACACTAGTGCAATACAATGCCCTCTTAAATTATATAATCAATATCCCGACACTAACAACTCTTAAATTAAATGGATTATGTACTTTAAACCTAAGTTCATTATTTAATCTTAAGTATAATATTCTACTCCTATTTCTTTAGCTTCCTTTCCACTATTCTTTTTCTATTCAATATATTACTTTAATAACTATTTTATTAATATCAATTAAATCTTTTAAAGCTTGATATATACTATTTTTAGTTATAACATCCGCAGAATTTGATTTCTTATCAATCTATTTAATCTCCATAATCTCCTTATTTTTGTAGTATTATTATAAAGCTATAATATCGATTAGAAGTTATTTTTCTACATTTATATTAAACTTAGTTAATAGATGATATATAATAATTTAAAATCCATATAAAGTATAAATAATATTTGTTTTTTAGATTTGAGAATAGTATTAATAGTACCCCTTAATAACAGCTCCGATATCAAAACCTAAAACTAATACATATAGCTTAAAACTAATACACTCCTAATGATTCTCTTACATTTGACTGATATCTAATAAATGATATTAGTATTGCTATGCTTATTTATAAGGTATATAATATAGCCGATTTATAATGATAGATTAGTATTATTAGTAAAGGATACATCAATAAAAACAACTAAGTCGATAAAATTCATATCAAGAGATATAAAGATTAATTCTCTTTTTGAATTGTCCATTTGCCATTTAATAACCTTATTAAACTTAATAATATTTTCTTCCTTCGGATCTATTATCTGGGCAGTAATTGAAAGATGGTATAATGCCTTTGATTGATATACTGTTGTGATATATGCATCTTTTATACATTGAGCAATATATTAATTCTTCGAAATAATATTCTTTCGAATCTTTCCCTTGTTCCCTACATATCAACACTTCCTAATATAACCATTCGGAAATTATCATACTGTTTCTCCTGATTTAGATAGATTTTATTATTTTTAAAAGTAATTAAACCACTATTAAACTTAATGGATGATTTTCGATGAATTGCTTTCTGTTTTTAGCCATAAATCCGGTTTTTTCCAATTACTCTTATTCTAATTATATAAATCTTTTATCTACAACTATAAGAATATCATCAATTTGTAATCCTATAATACTAATACCGTTATTGGAATAAAGTAAACAGGGATCGTATATAGATTACGTTTATATTTAGCCTATCCCTATAATGATTGTGGTAGGTTCCAAATCAGTAATTTCCTGTTTCTGGTACACTATACAAAGGCTTTATGATATATAACATATATCCAAAATCAAGTCCGATCTCTTCTAATACTTCCATATAAATAGATTTTTATTCAAAATCGTTGGTTGATTAGATATATACCTGTATGATATCCTGTAAATAGATCTGAATATACTTGTTTGATGTTTACAAAATAGCAGTAAATATAAGTATAATACACTAGCTAATATATTGAATAATTGAGATTACATCAAAATAATGGTTTTGCCTATATCTTGATATACCTAAACTACTAGTTGTAATTTCGCATATACTTTATTAGTACCTTCTTCTTTTATTTCATTAATAAATTATGATTTAAATAATTGTATTCCGAATAGTATACTAGCTTTTTGAGATGATTTTAAAAACTCCATTTTTCATTTAATCCATCAACTTCCTTGCCATCATAATTCCTTATATTATATAAATATATCATTTTGTAAGAATATAGTTAATTGTGGTAATGATAGCTAATGTCAATATCCATAAAATTGATTATATTAATCAAGTTGCTTTTCATTACACAATATAATTACATATCTAGTTGTACCACTGACAATAATGTTTGCAATCATAATATCTCCATTCGTAATATATCAACTATTATAGTATCACCGTTATCGTTATTATTTATATTATTACCATTATTCGATTCGATTTTTTCAGATTCTTCATAAAAAGATCGTACAAACATAAATCGAAATTTAGTTGATCCACTGGTAAGTTCCACTTCATATATTTCCCCATCCATTTCAATCAGAGCATATGGTCCAATCCACTTGCCTAACATATTGCCACCTTTTTCTTTTTTTTATATTAAAACTTGTGAATTAAACAATAAAATAAGGACTAATATTATAAATAATCCATTCCTCAATCTAAGCACTTCTGTGATCTGTCTCTTAGCTCATATATAACATACTTCTATCATAACTTTCTTCGTAACTTTCGCACATTGAATGATTATCGGGATTAATGGATTAATATCATTCAATCTAGAATATATCCCATAAACTAGTAGTATGGGAATAAGCCCATTCAATCCAGCTATATCATTTACAGCTTTCACTGTTATTTGCAGGATTATTGCTTTCATCAAATTGTTATCTTTAAGCTTTTTAGTCAAGATCTCATACACACAACATAAGGGGTGATAATATCTCTCCACTATACCTATAGAGTTGTATACTTCAACTGATATATTCTTGATAGTAATTAATATAGATTTTGTATTCTAAATGAATTCTTTATTACAAAATTCTTTCCTATATCATAAATAATATAATCTAATAGTCCTATATATACATCAATCCAGTATTTTCGAAAAATATCGAATATATATTTAACTGAAATGTTTTCAAGAAATCGAATTATTTGATAGTGTATTGCCTCATCAATAATATATAGAACTGATTTGTTTGTAATATATATGATATTGATGTATATAATATAATTAAATTTAATATCCTTTGGTAGAGTAAACCTAAAATGTCCGGATGACTTGCTATATATTTGATAGTACTTACAGTATTTGATAAGATATTTTATAGTGTCATTGCTTTTGTTATAGCCTATATATTATAATATATTATAAAAGTATTATGCAAATAAATAGCCAAATTGTCAATATAAATACTATAGCTTAATAATTATTAAATAATAATTATTCTAATAAATAAACTCTTGAATAAGCGAATCCATATTTATTTTTCATATCAAAAATATATGCCCACATCTTCTAATAACAGAATATTGACTGATTAGATTAATAAATTTGTTGATAATATTGTTATAGAATACTTTAAGCTAGTCCATATCCTTAAGTTCCAATAAAAATAGAATATTAGCATTTACAATATAAAAAACAATGTATTTAAATAATGTATCAATATAAAATGAATCTATTAATATCACAGTCCCCTTCCCAAAGCGTATATTCGCCATTCCCACTATTTGTGGATTATATATTACTAGGCATACCTATTGCCATACATAATATTATCTAATCCCAACTATAGATTTATCTATACAAACTATATCAATATATATATCAAAAAACTTCTTGTTTATATAACTTATGTAAAAAACGTTTATCACACTTTCTACTAATAGAGTAGCTTTAATAGGGTCTCTAATCAATGTATATAATATTGTATTGATTAATAATTGATTAAATATCTCTTGGCTATTCACAGATTTTAAATTAATGAAAAATGCTTTTTCTTCAGTATTATCAATATCAAGATCTGCAAAGAACTATTCCATTTCAATTTCTGAATTAGATTTTGCATTAGTAGCTTCTCCCTTATATTCAATCAACCATTGGTTATAGCACTTATTAAACGTGTTGTTATTACTATCCTTAATCTTTTCCCAATATTTATATCGATTTTTATTCTATTCCTCCTAGGAATACTTGTTGATCGATATCCCTCTTTCTTACATATCCAGCAACAATTTCATTGATTCGAAGAATTAGATTGTTATCGAAATCTATTAGTATTGCCCTTGAAGCTATTGCTTTTAAAATTATTGTTTCTGAAATCTCTAGAATCACCTAAACTATTCCAATCATTATTGCTACAGAATCTTTTATTAGTAAATAGTATTATATCTTCTTCCTTATACGATCTCTCCTATATATTAATGGATTATCACAGTTAGTTAATTAAACCAGATATTTCCTTTTTGGGGTCAAAATAAGCTAGATTGTATGCCTCAATATCTTCACATACCAATATAAGCTTATTATATAGATATGATATCTGCCGCATAACAGAATCAAATCAATATTATAACATACATAACTACTTGATTATGATGATAAAACACTCACTAAGTAACTTGTTTTTATACTTCTTTTTAATCAATTTGAAAATAATACTATTCCATTTAAATAGTATATTGCATTAATACTCTTCTCCCTCAAAGTTACTCCACATATAAATATAAAGCTCTCTGAATATAGATAATAGTGCTTCGTAATTGGCATAAAAGAACTCAAATACACTATCCTTTAGCATAATTGGGAATACCTTGTATTGTATATCCATAAGCACCTCCGCACATCATAAGATTTCATAGAATATTGAGAGTTTGAAATCGAAATTATTGTTGTCCCCACTATATTTCTTCTTATTAATATAGAATTTCAATAAACTGATAAAAGATTGTATATTAGAATATATCGATAATTTCTTATTTCTATTGTATTGATCTCTATTATCCTTCCTATTATTATCACCATTATTATCATTATTAGGATCTCCTTTTTTATCACCCTTTTTATTATTTTTTTGATTATCTTTGTTATATTCGAAATTGTTGTTAATAAATCTATTGATTATTCCAAATCTAAATTTAGATTTTTTAAGATTACAATCTTTTAGAATTTCCTGAATTTAGTCTTTCGTTCATGTATTTATAATAAATCTACATAATTAGTCATATAAAGCTATAAATACTTCAACATCTAATTTCAATATTTATACCCTTTGGGCATATAATACTATATATAGCTTTCGTGTATCCAATTGGTGGATCTTCACGAATTGCCTACTTATAAATATACTGAAATTATTATAAAAGATCTCAGCTAGCTTATTATTATTAATATCCTTATAGTTGTATTACTTATACTTAAATTTGATATATTTGGTAAACTCCTTAGAGTCAAAATCAATAATTCCATTATCAGCCTATTATTCCTTCAATAGGCTTAATTATTCTTTACAATACTCCTCTTCCTTTTTTATATATAATTCCTTATCAATAATCTTAAAGGTGATTGGGGTATTATTGCTATCCAATATAATAGAGTGTATATAGGGGTATTTCGAAGGTTATAGGTATTTCGAAGGTTGTAGATAGGTTGTAGGTATAAGAGATATGAGAGGGTGTATGAAAAGTATTTAGATAAAGGGTTTATTTTGTATAATGTGTAGTACAAAAGTGAATATATAATGAACACAAAATCGATTTGTTATATTTAACTAATCAATTCTTTTGAATATATTTTTCTAATATAATTATTTAGAGTATATTCTTTAATACAATAAGAAGAGAAAATATATTATATTTAGTATAATAATATCTTTCTTTATAATCTCTTCAGAATTTCTACCAATCCTGAATACTATTTTTAAACACCTAATACTTTTTAGTAGAATCCAAAACCCTAATTGTAATATTATTAATTAGTGTTGATATTAATTTGATATTGATTAAAGTATAAAGTACTTCATTCTTATCAATATAATTGATTGTATTATTCGTCTTGATTATTATTAACTATAGGAAGCTAGTACTTGATATAGTAGAAGTGCTAGCGCTAGTGCATACGCTAGTACATACGCTAGTGCAATATAGTGCCCTCTTAGATCACATGATCGATATCCCGACACCCTCCAAGCCAAATGTCGTAATACATCTCATACCAAAATGTCACAGCTTGGGACAGAGGAAATCAAAGCGTTAGTTTACAACAATCGTTAAGGAATTCGAAGAGTCTTACCTGCTATCTTTGGTCCCGGTATCTTGGCGATGGGAGATAATGTTACTTCGAGAAAATTGTCAATGAGATTGTTCACTAAAATCTGCCAGGTCCTCAAGTTACGTACATCGATATGCTGCAAGATCAGTACTGTAGAGAAGCCATAGTGAAATGATGAGATACAAAGGTGTCAGGGTCGAATAGTTCCTTATGTTCCATACATTTGAGTCAAACAAAGCATTCGTCCCGGGACCTTCTACAGAGCTGCGTAGAAAGCCACCGAAACTTGAATTGATATCGGGGAGCTTGCTTTCAGCCATCGTGGTAGTATCTGGAAATTTGTAAAGGAAGATTGCGGATTTCGCATAGCTTAATATCTAAGATCTTGACGGAAATAAATTAAGATAGAGGCTAGTATGAGATTTGCCACCTTTCCTTGAGTTCATTAGCAATCTTACTTGCAGCATTATATCGACCGTTGTACACCCATTCTGATCCCTGGTTTCCACTCGTAATATGAGCACGCGATTTGTATCAGTCTATACATTGTAAGCTGTATTGAAGGTTACATTGCAGGTTTAGTTGTAAGCCTCGTACTCACTAAAATACTTGCGAAGCTTATTTTCCTTTCCGCATGGGTGAATTGCGGCACATACCAACGTTCATGCACCTTGTTCAATAAACTTTAGCTGCCTAACTTTAGTCTGGCAAAGGGTCAAGTATCTGTTAACTGACGGATTCTTATCTAGAGGTCTTGAATCATGATCAATTTTGACGGAGGAACATACATCGTCACAAGGAAGATTTCTAATAGTCCTCATTGCAGTCCGAGAATACAAGACTGTATCATTCTGTATCCAACTAAAATAGGGAAACCTTCAACAACTATTGACATAGCCTACCTTGATGTTGAATTAATTGTGAATATTCATGGCTTCATGCAGTCTGAAAGTCTGGCTTATGGACACTTTGACTGGAATAATAGGACACTTTAGTACAATATCCTCTATAGCTAAGCTAGATATTCGAGAGCTCAGAATGGCACAGTAGGTCAAGTGGATGATATTACTTTTGTTTCCCTGAAAATGCAGTGAAGAAGTATTGTATTCCAGCCAACTCCTCTATTCAAAAACTATTTGTCTTCAGACACTCGCGCAAAGTCAAAACGCGGCGGTGCATTATGCTTTCAATTCACTAGCTGTCTTGATGAATTCTGTCATGGTACTCAAGATTTCCTCGGACTTATCTCCACTAAGAACAGCCAAATGTCCTTTTTCTTTTGCTATGTACAGGGTTTTTGGACCTGCTAAGAGCCCAAAAGCTTCAATCCGTTCTTCGGGCGACGAAATATCGTCTAATTCGGGCACAATCATTAAAGTTGACGCCTGAACCATGTCCAGTATTACCTTGGGACGGAATATAAACAGTTTCTGGTATGTTTGTAGTGTGATACGATCGCGGAAATTGGGGGCACCATGATCAATGACTGCGGACATAAAGCTGTATGCTTCCGTTCCGCCTGGCCCCCCTGATCCCCCAAACCCCATTGGGTTTTCTCCTTTGCTATTCAATGGAGGTAATGTGAATGCTTCATTACCTCGCAGTTGTGATTGCCGATCTCTAATGAGTTGTGCAAAAACCTTTTCTCGCTTTTCTGGCTGAAAGAAGCTAAAAAGGGGACACACCATTACGAGTGACTTAACTCGCCTATCCAAAGCTGCTGTGCAAGCGCTTACCGTTGCTCCAAAGGACATACCCCAAAGTATGATTCGACGAGAGTCAACGTTCGGCAAAGATGAGATGTGTGTTAAAATATCTATACAGCGAATTGTAAGCCGAAACTGAACAGCAAAAGGTTTCTTTTGATTGAAATATACTGTACTGACCTGATAAATCTTCGGCTTGTTGCAATGGGCTGATCTGATTTCTAGGAAGTCCATCACTGTCTCCGATACTTCGAGGATCATAAATCAATGCGTTATAACCTATACCCTGGAATCTTCGAGCTATCTCTGGCAAGAGCATTTCTTTGACACAGTTGAACTAAACTGTTGTTAGTAACAAGAACAGAGACGAATTATTGAATGCTAGTTTGAGAAGCACTTACTCCATGTGTCATGATGATGGCAGGTGCTTTCACCTCCGTAGGGTGTAGCAATCCTCGGAGGGTAATGCCGTCTATCGTCTTGTATTCAACTTTGACCGCCGGCAGAGCCATATCTCAATACGTATCTTCTAAGGAGTTAAAATGGTAACTTGATTGGAAGACTTTGAGTATTTTAATGTAATAGATTTTAGATGAAGTGACACAATTGGCATTAAGCGTATGATGAGGGAATATAGTACGTAAAATATAACCGAACAGAAGATCATGTATGACAGCCTGGCCTTGACTATCTATTTAAGGGGAATCTACGGATCGAAGTAAAAGGTACCCTCTTTCTACAATGATACTGATCCCTAAAACATGGAAGGCTTCGTGTAAACGTAGCTGGCCACTGTGCATCTCACTCTTATTTGCTCTTCTGCAACAATAGGGGCTCTTTCTTACATCTTACCTCGTGCAGCCCACTCTCCTAGTTCTTATCTCAATGCATTGCGTTTGCATAATCACCCTATCTAGAACTATCTTAACTCTCCAACCGAAAAGCTGCCTAAATTTGCTGGACTTTTATCAGGATTCAAGCAATAGCAACATCGATCGGCCTTATTCATTCTCCGAAGAAGCTGGTAGCATACGTTTAAGAGATGGTGCAATAAGGTTGAAGATGTGGCGTGATCGTCTAACGGTTTCTTCAACATGTATTTCTTGATCCAGGGTGTCTTACATGCAGCTGTAGGGTTTACGGTAAAGATAGAGGGGTATGAATCCCTTGACCCGCTGAATTACCGTGCAGTCACTAATCGTACCGCGGGGTTTAAGTCGTTTTCTGAAGATAAATCTGTAGTCAATGCAGGACTAGGAGCAGTGGGCTATGCCAGATCGCAGAAGATATGGATCTGGGTAAATAACGGGGGTCGTAAGCGCTCTGTGCCTCTTGCCTGCAGTTTCCTATATGAAAGGTCATCATGGATTGATTCAAGCGAGCACGTGCTTGGTGTGAGAATTGTTGATCTGCATTGTAATATTAGGACAAATTCTAAATCACAACTTCTCGTGATTAATGTGTTGCGTGAAAATTGGAGCCAAAATCTGAGAATCAGTGAGAACATAGAGATATTAGCTGAAGGTTACGAACTTACTATGGACGGAGATAAGGGATATTCGTGAGATGGTGAGACTTCAAGTCTGGATGTTTTGAGTTTTGAGGGGTATGGTGATTAGGTTTGAAGACAAAGAATGACCAGAATATTTTCCGTGTTTACCTGCTTCCTTTCTATATAAGATGCCATGATATCGGAACAACCAACTCATGATCAACTCTCTTCTTCAAATATTTCTATCAATCTATATACGATAAACCTCATATCAAATTTTACAATGTCTCAACATTCTCAAGAGCCAGTTGCCATCATTGGCTTTGCATGCCGCCTCCCAGGAGGTAATACCTACACCAAGAAACTCTGGGAGTTTCTCGAGAGAGGGAGACATTGCCTCGAATAAGGTGCCCAAGTAAAGATTTAATATTGAGGGACATTGGGATGGGTCTCAAAAGCCACGCACTATGAGACCATGCGGTGGTATGTTTCTTGAAGATATTGACCCGGCGGATTTTTGATGCTTCATTCTTTGAGATCTCGAAGAGTGAGGCCATCTCAATGGATCCAAACCAGCGTCAGATGCTTGAAGTTGTCTTTGAAGGACTCGGAAATGCTGGTATTCTACTAGAAAGTCTTGATGGGGCACTGTCGGTTGTTCGTTGGTTCATATGCATCAGGTAAGTAAGCATGTTCTTGAACTACTGTCCACGTGAAAATGAAAATGAAAATGAAAATGAAAATGAAAATGAAAATGAAATGAAAAGAAAATGAAATAAAATGAAAATGAAAATGAAAATGAAAATGAAATGAAAATGAAATGAAAATGAAATGAAAGAAATGAAAATGAAAATGAAAATGAAAATGAAAATGAAAATGAAAATGAAAATGAAAATGAAAATGAAAATGAAAATACCAAGTAGTTCAGATTATGGCGATATGCAAATAGAGATCCTGAAGATAGGCCAGCAAGCATTACTGTTGGAGTTGGGCGTGCTATCATGGCTAACAGACTAAGTCATTTCTTGAATATCAAGAGACCGAGGTAAGAATATCAATTTGCATTGTACTGTACTCTTGAGACTGACACTTTACGCTTATCAGTATGACTATCGACACCGCTTGCTCTGGTAGTCTTGTGGGTCTTGATGTAGCTTGTCGATATCTACAGTCTCGAGAGATAAATGCGGCTATCATCGCAACAAGCAATCTTTATTTGAATCCTGAGCATGTAATGGATCTTGGAGCGGTCGGAAATGCACATTCGCCTACTGGGCTATGTCATACATTCGATATCGACGCTGATGGATACGTGAAGGCTGAAGCAGTTAGCTGTATTATCGTCAAAAGACTATCCGATGCTATTCGCGATAGGGACCCCATTAAGGCTGTGATTCGAGGTTCTGCTACTAATAGCGATGTAAGAACGCCAGTTATGCTAGTCCTAGCTCCGAAGCTCAGTCTGCTGCTATTAGAGCAGCGTATGCTAATGCAGGTCTTACCAATTTGAATGATACAGCATATCTCGAATGCCATGGCACCGGAACGCAGGTAGGATTGACCCCAAAGAGTAAACAAAACGGCTTAATTAATGCGCTTTGTACAGGCTGGAGATCCCACTGAAGTGAAGGGTGCCGCTTCCGCATTTGGTGCGACACGCTCAGCAGATAAGCCACCAATCATCGGCTCGGTAAGTGACCCTTTTTATTGGATTGTTAATCATGAGCGCTCACTGATTTATCCTCAAGATAAAAAGTAACTTAGGACATGCTGAGCCATCAGCGGGTATTTCAGGCATCATGAAAGCTGTTATGGCCATCGAAAATGGAATTATCCCAGGAAATCCAACTTTTATAAAACCTAGTCCAAAGAGTAAGCACAGCCCAAACGTGGTATCTATTGCAAAGTTCCATTGCTAACAATGATGTGGCTATAGTTGATTTTACTGGTCTCAAATTGAAGGCTACTCGCACCTCAATTCCGTCGCCTGAAAGTTCTATTCGCCGAGCAAGTGTCAATTCGTTTGGATATGGAGGCTCCAATGCACACGTGATTCTGGAACAGCCGACATTTCCAGATTGCCCGCATCACATCAGTTCATACCTATCTGATACTGACGAGCTTACTTTGGATGAAGATGACTCAGAGCATCCGTATACACTCGTTGTCTCGGCAAATGATAATGCTTCGCTTAAGGCTAACATCAAGGCATTGTGCAACCACTTGATCAACCCTTGTGTCAAGGTCAATCTTGAGGATCTCGCGTATACGCTTTCTGAAAGGAGAACAAAGCTATGGCACCGGGCCTATATTACAACACGAAGCACAGATATTGACGAAAACGATTTTGTTGTTGGAAAAAAGAATCCAGAAGCCCTGAGGATTGGTTTCGTGTTCACTGGTCAGGGTGCCCAGTAGCCTCAAATGGGGAAGGACTTGCTGCAATTCTTTCCATGGACAAGAAATATACTCAGTAACCTTGATGATGCTCTACAGAGTCTTCCACAGCCTCCAACCTGGTTATTGATACACGAGTTAACCAAAGTTCGCAGCGCCGAACACTTTCGTCAACCAGAATTTTCACAGCCTCTGGTCACAGCACTTCAACTATGCATTATCGACATTCTTCGAAAGTGGGGTATCAAACCTCAAAGCGTTGTTGGCCACTCATCTGGTGAGATTGCGGCTGCATATGTAGTAGGGTTTCTCGACCAAGCCACTGCTATCAAGGTAGCCTACTACAGAGGTCGGGCTGCTGTGAATCGAAAGAACGAAATCGAAAGTGATGTTGGTATGTTAGCTGTGGGTCTAGGTACAGAAGGACTGTTACCATTTTTAGAAAAGTACGCCGGAAAAGCTTGGATTGCTTGTTTCAACAGTCCTAGCAGTTTGACTGTGTCCGGAAAACGCGAGGCGCTCGAAAAGCTGGCTGAGGAATTGAAAGCCAACGGTCATTTCGCTAGACTTCTCCAAGTCGACCTTGCCTACCACTCTGAGCTTATTGGCATGATTGGTGAAGAGTATGAGAAGCTTTTGAAATCGGGCTTCGCTTCCCTTGGTGGATCATCAGATGTATCGATGTTTTCTTCAGTCACTGGACTGAAGCAGACTACTACTACCGACGCATTGTATTGGAAAACAAACATGGTATCACCAGTACGATTTGATAAGGCCCTCAACGAGATGCTTTCGGACGAGAAAGCTCCAAACTATTTGATCGAAATTGGTCCATCGGGGGCTCTTGCTGGCCCTATCTCGCAGATCTTGAAAGCACTACCTAGCAGTGATGGCATCTCGTACAGTCCTTCATGGGCTCGAGGTCAGGCTGCGGGTAAAGCTATTTTCGATCTGGCAGGTCGTCTGTTCGTCGCGGGCCATGACATTAGTTTGAGAAGTGTCAATCAGTATAACAACACTAAAACTTTGATTGATCTTCCAAATTACACCTGAAATCACTCCGTCAAGTACTGGCATGAGAATGCATCGAGCAAAGATTGGAGGTTTAAGCAATTTGTGAATCACGATTTACTTGGAAGCAAAGTCATCGGGACCACGTGGAAGTCACCAACCTGGCGAAAGCTTCTAAACCTTACTGATGTTCCATGGCTGAAAGATCACAAGATGGGTTCAGATGTCTTGATGCCTGTGCTGGATACATAGCAATGGCTGTAGAAGCATTGTACCAGAAGACACGCGCCACTGCGACCGAGGATCTAATCATTAGTTCGCCCAATGAGCTATGCTATCGATTGAGAATTATCCACTTTGACAAAGCTTTAGTACTAGAAGATGATAAAGACTCCGCCATACTTTTATCGCTGACTCAACAGCATGGTAGTAAAGATTGGCAAGAATTTCGCATTTCTTCAACCACGGGAGATCTTTTGATGGAGCATTGCTCAGGTTTGATTCGCATACAAGACACTGTTGATGAGCATTTGGCAGAGTCTGATAACACACCCCTGCAATACCTAACTTCTGGCAAGGTCTGGTATAAGGCTCAGGCGGAAGCCGGTTATGGCTTTGGTCCCAGTTTCCAGAAGCTACTGAAAGTCGAGTCTAGCAGTGGTCAACGACAATCTCGGGCACAAGTGTCGTTGGCAGAGCCAGCTTCAAAATGGTCACCGCAATCTTACTATCCAATCCATCCAGCAGCTCTTGATGGATGCTTCCAGACAGTCACACCCGCTCTATGGGCAGGAGAACGCAGTTCAGTAAATGCTGTCCTGGTACCTTCCATAATCGATGACCTGATTATCAACAGTGTACCTGCTGGTCTCCAGGAGGATCTCTCGCTCGCTTCCTCGGAATATTCTGGCCGTGGTCGTCTGGAAGAAGCTAAGAGCTACTTTGCTAATTGTTCAGTCTATCACCCAGACACTGGTGCTCTCCTTATGCAGATGTCTGCACTACGCTTCGCTAAGTTAGATACGGGAATAAAAACAGATCCACATGTATTTGATTGCATTTCTTGGAAGCCAGATATCACTTTCTTTTCCCAGGAAAAGTTAGGTGGTCTGGATGCTGAGAATTCCGAGACTCAACTTGATTCGGTTATAAACCTAATTGCGCACAAGCGGCCTGCTTTGAGAATTCCTAAACCTACCTAGGTCCACTTTTTCCTCCCGTATCACGCCAGGTCAGTGTGCTATCTACTCCCCTACGTAAAATCGCTCGTACCATCCGACCGACAGTTTCTGATTCCCAATAACTTCGTCATGCAATTAGAATGACTATAAATTGTGGGCGGCAAATAGCCATAGTGTACCCGGTGTCATGGCCCTGCATATCGTCTTAAATTCAGCTCCGAGTCTTCTAGGGTAATATCCTATATGCGTATCTTTAGGATCACCCCTGCCCGTCAGCAAATGTGATGCAAGGCCAATAAGGATGAGCGTCGGAAAATGTTCAATGTGAGCAAGCACTATATTGGTTCCGAAATTCCCTAATGTCACAACCTCTGTTGAAGCCTGGGATGAATATATAGTTGACTTTCTTTTGTGTCGCAACAATGGTCGAGGTAGACATTGAATGGAGGATTGACCCTGTTCATCGTCGCAGATCACAGAATCGCATTGCCCAACGCAAATTTCGTCGTGAGTACTATTACCATTATTTACCAACCTACAGTCTGTGGGCAGCGGTCTAATCAGGAGAACAGAGTCGCGCAAGACATCAAAATTTGCGCTTAACGATAGAATCAGCCAGTATCTAGTAGAGATTCTCATTCGATTACTGGAACGGAACTGATAGAAGTCCCAGATCTTCAAGATTCCACAGACGTTGGCACCAATTCGTCCGATTATCTCACCAGGGTAGCCACTTCTGCACAAACATCTGGCAGTTCGACGGCCGGCTCCCCAAATGACACACCCAATAATGGTGTTCAAGGATTAGACGATATCAATTTCATGGACAGCTTAATTTCCGGCAGTAATAGCTCGTTTTCGACACCACCAATGACCGAATTTCAAGCCAATTTCGATCAGAACTTAGACTTCATTTCTCTGAGAACATCAAGGACATCATCGGCTAGCCCTATGAGCTCAGACTGCTTCAACTTCTATGGGACCCTGGGAGGTGTCTTTTCACCCACCCGCTCCGATCACGCACAGCACAAAGGCTCTGGACATGAACCACACGTCCATCCGGGCATGGCCTTGATACCGCAAAACTACAGCGACTCCAGTCAATCGAGCTTGACAAAGGAACGCCCCACTTCAGTATTATCCAAACTAGATGGACAAAGCAAAGGATGGCTGAGTCCGCTACGCATCGCCGCTCGTCGAGGTCACGAGCCGATCGTCCGCACCCTTATTTCACACAATATCGACTGCAATGAAAAAGATAGCGACATGCGAACGGCTTTAATTCATGCGTCAATAGACGGGCACGAACCTGTAGTCAGTCTACTTCTTGCACACGGCGCTCGTATCAGTGATGTAGACCGACGGGGACGATCGGCATTGTATTGGGCTACCATGAATCAGCATCAAGGTGTTTTACGATTGCTTTTGTGGGAATACGATAAGAGAGATTGGGAGCAAGGTATTGATGCGTATGATGACATGGGCTGGACTGCTCTGCATATTGCTATTGAAAAGGGCTTCGATGTTGGGGTTCAATTATTATTAGCAAGTGGCGCTGATTTGAATGCGAAAGCGCAAAAGACGTGTAACGGTGATGATGACAAGGATGATAGTAGAACCGTACAAGCAGGCTAACCAGAGTGGATTGATTTTACGGTGTTGGGGGTCGTGGGTCATGGATCATGGGTTTGACGATTAGGTTTAGGGTTATGTATGGCTTTGGATTTTGAGTACTGGGTTTCATAGAATCTGTAATGGTTAGGTCGTAGTCGGTAAGGGGGAGTTTCAACTCATATTTATACCCTTTAAATCTACAGGACTTGACTGAAGCAATTATTTTCTCCCAACCACCTTCTCCCCAAGGCGGCTGAATTATTTCGTCCATTCTTGTTGAAGTACAATCAATTTGGCTCTATGATCTGATCCATGAATCGCTACATTAAAACCCTAGCGTACATTGATCACCAGACCATTGCTTAATTGATATAATCCCCTCACTAAGCCCTATATCCAAGACTACATCCATGAAATACCTGATTCTTATATCAAGTCTTAAAAAGCATAAAAATCCACGAATTTTCACACAACAACCTTAATTTACTCCTCATCTACCCTTTGGAAATCAAACCAGCCCAAACCATAATCCCTGACCCGCCATTATGAGCACTTGGTTTAAGACGCCATAATGCGAATAATTCAATAGCAGGCGAGTGCAAATAGCAAGTGCATGTAGTATGTTTGTCAGTCATAACACAAGGTTGGATGTTATCCAAACACAGTACCCGGGCGAAGGCATGAATAAGGGTCGCATTAGAGTTTGTCTATAGATCCGCGTTCCATCTGTATTTTGCGTCGTCATTGTACCTAACCGATTCCTGGAGCCAACTCTCATCTGGTCTACTTTCATCGAGCCATTTCGGACTAGAGTAAGCTAGCCATTTTAGGGATGCAAAGCGCTCGTCTCTCTTCCATGCTGCGTAATTTCTATTTGGGTATTACTTGAAGACTGTTAATTCTACCTATGATTCCTTGCTTGGATGGGTCGCTAGAGCATTCATAGTTTCACGATTCACAAGTGAGCTTCTCTGGCAAAGTAGATGTGGGGCAGAGGACCTGGAAAAGGGGTAGCGAGATGGGTGTTAGCGGATAATTGGATACGACCAAGTGTGATTCTGAGTCAGATGATTCTACCATTTTATTTTATTTTAAACAAAAAAGTTCTGGATATATATTGCCACAACTCCATGTTTCTATCCTTTTGCTATGACTATGTATCGATTATCATCACCTCAACGCCCTCCAAACAAGTTATAATTCCTCAGTAACCAATTCCATCGTGGTAACAAACCGAGGGAGCTTATCCTCCATCATTCTCTAGTCATACTAGCTTCCAGTCACCATCACTTTCAAGAGAGTACTGGCATAGAAAATCTTTCTCGAAACAACATCGATCGGCTTGTCCTTCTGCCTATTCAACATCAACATGTCACGGAGCTTGCGGAGCGTTCACCTGCGCTTTCCAAGACATATACGCCACCCATGCCTGAAATATTCCCAAAATAACGCTTAAGAAACCAAAAAACGCTGATAGAACAAGGGACAAAATTGCTACAAACAAGGCATTCCTCTCGGAAGCATTCCTTTGTATCCACTGGCCAATACGATGGCTCGATCTTGGGTGTGTCACAAGATGATTCAACTTAGCAAGCCAATCACCCCAGTAATAGTATTCAAAGTTTTCCGGTACCGGTCTATTGTATCCTTCATAAAGCAGGCAATCTGGGTCAAAACTGGCTTCGGCTTCTTGAATGATGTTCTCCAGAAATCGAGACGATTTTTCATCAGTTGGAGGGAACAGTATACATTGCAAGGAATGCAATGTCTCTAGGAGCAATTGTGGTGGTAATGTCCCCCTGAAAACGCAAGTTAGAATAAGCTGATCAAGATAGGTATATCGGATTAATTGAACATGAACCTCACAATTTGAGACTTTCAGCGATTCCGAGCTGAATAGGCTGGCTAGCTGAAAGTCGGAGATGAGCTTTTAGAAATGCTGTTTGGCGGAAGAGGCGAACGACGTTATCTTGGGGGTCGTATAGAAGGTGCTCTGCTATGTTGTCCGTTGAAACGAATTTGATATGTGCTCGCTTCCTTAATTTCCAGCATTTCAAAGAATTTTTCTCTTTCAATGCCGTTCGAACTTTCTCTTGATCGTGAACGTCCATTGGAAAGACTTTCTTAACAAAATCGGCGAACTGCTCTGAGCTATCCCAACTGACTGGCCGGAAGCCGCCGATCTCATAGCCTTCATAATGACGATCTTTATCAGAGCAATCAATCATCAACGTGATATGCACAGCGACATTGATAGCACGCTCCTGGTCAGTTACAGCCTCTGGATCTGTCGAAATATTTGGAAATATTTTAGCTCTAAATTCTTCGCGTGTGCTTTGTGGATTTGCCCTCAATTAAAGAGCTAGTCTTCGAATATCATCATGAGAATTCAAGGCAGAAGGATGTATTTGGACCGTTGCATATTGGGGACTCGTCAAACGGTCGTAGATTTGGAAGTATGTACTGGATGAGTGAAGCTTTTCTTCGGCGCTGAAAAGGTCTTTCGCAATTCGCCTTTTTTCGTTTGTTGTGGTAGGTCGCATTGTAGAATATATATTTTCCGAGATGCAAGAATATAGTTTGAAATGGAATCTTTGAGTATATAGTCTGACAGTCGCAGGAGCAATTCAATGAGATGTGATCACCCTGAATTAATCGGTTCTACTGTCTTGATTGGAAGATCCTTCGGTACAGCCCAAGCCACAAATGCGGGGAGTATATAATGTCCAGCTTACCTCTCAACACTGCCTCAATGTAACCTCACGATTTGGCCTCTTCACAAGCCCGGAGACTTTTTATCTCAACAGTTCTTGCGCCGAGATGATGGCAATGTCGAGTCAAAGTCAAAATTTCATACACTTTTATTAAGTTTAAAAAATGAATTCCGAGACTCTCGTTGAGCGCGGCTCAGAAGAGATCTTAAACACGAACCAGCCGTCGAACAATATCAACAACGCGTGGCGACAGTCATTTGCCGGCGGCAAGGCTGTTAACCCCAAGTTCTTTGAATCACGATACTTTCCATCAAACGAACCTACAATCCATCGTCAACCTCAAGGTGGTCCAAGAGAAAGACATCCTTGCTCCCCACAGGAAAACGGCCATAATTATTCGCAAAACCCTTTCCAGGCTGTCTCCAGATCCCCCAAGGGTCCTATCGTGCAGAGCCCCTTACCAGAAAACTACCCGGGTGCCTCGCAGAGCCCTCTTCAGGCCGTTACTGCATCTTCTATTGTGCAGAGAAAATCCTCGCTGGAAAATGGCCTGAGTACCTCGCAGAATCCTGTTCATGCTAACACTACAACACCCATTGTATAGTACACCCAAGTGGCCTCTCCGGATTATGCCGATCCAAGAAGGGTACCTGGTACAGACAAGAATATCTACCCTCGTGCACCAATCAGATCGGAATTTCAAGAGCGATATCCACAACTTGTCGATTTTTTTAAGCAGGCTGTGGATACTCACAAAGTTCTAAAGTATCACACTTCAAAGATCAACTATGAGCTACGTTTATGTGGAAGCACTCCAGCAAACGCAGTTGCCTCGGTCATCATATTTTGCGCTGAAGCTCTTTTCAAATGCCTAAGATCATTATTAGGCAGCAGGCACATCCAGCGGCAATATCAGCTGGTGAATTCTTCCTTTCAGGACAGATTTCAATTGGCACCTAGCAAGCCTCATCCACAAGTATCTGCTCCTATTGTAGTACCTTTCAATGTCGTCTACTGGAGGGAAGCAAACACACCTACCCAACGAAAGTCCGCAATGGAGCAAGTGGTTACCAGGAACCGTTCGTTTCTCACAATGTGTGGATCATTAATAAAGTATGGTGTGATCGTACCTCGACTCTAGGGCTACTTATTAGTATGGACTCTAAGCTATATGGTTTGACTGTGGATCATTTGTTCAAGGATCAGCAGGGCGAAGAACAATCAACGATTGCAAACGAAGCAGAGGTTCTGTATGATGAGGACGACTCCGAAGATAGTGAACCAGAGTGGTCATGGATTGATGATGTGAAATACGAAGACTTTGAAAATGTCGAATTTGTTTCAGACGCTGAATCAGTGTCATCCGGAGGATCACATGCCAAAACAACCATTGATCACGGGCCGACTGAACAGTATGGTGAATCTATAAGTGGCCACAAGGTGGATATACTGTCTGTAATAGATACGACAACGACGAATCTCGACTGGGCCTTGATTGAATTTGATAATGGATACTATGAGCGACCTAACGCATTTTATTCGAAAGATGACCCCGCAAATCCCAAGTTCTTTCGGACTCTTTCGGCAATTCCCAAAACTAGCGACGTCAACGTGTTCATGATCTCTGGAGTGAGCGGAACAAGAAGGGGCGTCATGCTTAACAACACATCTTACATTGGAGGCAAACCAAATGAAGATCTCTGTCAGGCGTGGAACGTAATTTTGTCTGACTCTGACTGTGAGTTGCGAGTCTTTCAGGCGAATTTTAGCTAACGATATCTGTCTAGGTGTCATTGATGGTGACTGTGGATCTTTGATCGTAGACCAGAATTCTCTAGAGGTTTATGGTCACGTAGTTGCATCGAATCCGTTTGGCGAAGCTTATGTAGTCCCTCTACAGGATACATTCCAACAAATCAGCAATAGTCTTGAAGCGAAGGATCTATCTTTGCCCAATCCAAGGGTACTTATGGAGAGACTTGTCGCTCATTACTCCAAGGAAGGCGACAGTGGCGTAGCAGACAAGGCTAAACAAATTCTTGCTTCAATGGAAGAGCCAGAAGTAGAAAGACCATGTCTAATGTGCGATCAGTCAGATCAAAAAGATGTTCTCTTATCATGCAATGGATGCAATGCTTCTTATCATACACATTGTATCGATCTAGACAATATTCTTGGTTGCTACTGGTATTGTATGGAATGTGTGGAAAGTGGTGCTTTTGGTCAATATGATAAATCGCAAGGACCGGTGAGAGGTTCCAAATCTCCATCAGACTCTTTGGGTGAACAAGATCAGCGCTTGCATTCGAGTTCTAATAGCACTATCCAAAGTGGAACAAGCAGCGAACTCCCAAATCCTTCATTGAGCGCAAATGATCAAACTACTTTTCTGCCTCAATCTAACATTGTTCTTCCATGCGAATTCATATGGAATGATTGTGGAGTAACATTCAATTCAGAAGATTTCGAAAATTGGTTTGCACACAGTCTAACGCATTTCAAAAACCTTCCTCCTCCATCGAAATGCTTTTGTCTTTTCTGTGATAAAGAATTCGAAGATATCGATAATTCATACAAGAATTGGCGCAATAGAATGATACACAGTCGTGATCATTTCCTTGATGGAAAAACAAATATTCAACCAGATTTTTTGGTAATAGAATATATGTGGAAGAATAATCTAATAGATGAAGCTGATTATACTTTGACTAAACAATATATTGAATATCCATCAATATCGAATCTTATACTAAAAGGATTTGAGACGCCTGAGTCAAAATCTCCTATCGAAAATCATCCTGATGAAGGTGCATTGACTGATCTTGGTCCATCTGTCAGCAACCAACAAGAAATCCCGCATATTCCTTACCAGCCTCATAATCTCCCGCAGGTGAAACCAGCGGAACAGAATCCCCCTTGCAGTACTCTCTTTGTGGGAAACCTCCCGAGGGATACATCCGAGGAAGAACTTATGGCAATGTTTTCTAAGCAGAAAGGCTTCGGACGCTTATACTTTACATCTGGACCGAATCCTTTAATGTGTTTCGTCGAATTTGAGGATGTTTCCTTTGCCACCAAATGTATCCAAGACTTTAATGGGATGTCTCTTCAAAACAGCACTAAAGGCAACATTCGGTTGAGGTTTTCCAGAATTCCGGTTCATGTGCGTTCCGGTCCATTCCTGGAGGCCGAGGAAGTCATTCCGTTCCTTCCAAGTCATCATCATGATCATCGAGAGTCAAGTGGGACTTCATGGAGTGCTTGGGAATGGGATAATGATAGGAAGCAATGGCAATCTCATCGCACAGATTCCATGGGGAAAACCGAATGGAAATTTGAGGGCGACCAGCCAACTTCGACCTCATCTGTCACTGCAAATATGTCAGGTACTTCTTCAAATATGCCTAGCATTAAAACCACGTCAAACTAATCTGCTGCTTAGACTATGATCCTATTATATCACCATCAGCACCAAATTATGAAGAGAGCAGGTACAATGTTGCCTCCAGCAGTCTCAAGCAATCTGAAGGATACAGTGGTACAGAGCAGCCTGTATCAACAAAAGATCCGCCAACACAATATCCGCCAACACAATACCCTCCATCGCAAGACCGTCGATCAAAATACCTACCAGATAGCACAGTGAATACTACAGTGCACTCTAGCGTCAAATCAAGAAAATTCTAGTATCTCAAACAGCTTCCATTTTATCAGGAATAAGAATCAAGTTTAACTCTCCTTTTCAATGAGCTTTTAGTCCTTTTTTAGGTAACCTACACAAGAACAAAATGGATATGGTTTCCAGCCTCTCTTTTTATTCCTTTCAAGTTTTATAGGTTTATTGATGGAAATTAGTGTCGCAGTAGTATGGATTAGCTTCATTCTTTAATACAATAATTTTGCGAATTATATGACGTCTTAAATGATGGCTCGCATTTGCAACACGCTTCGAAATTCTATGTCCAGTTACTCTGTCCGAGATTACGAAGCCGTGGAGCTTTTTATTCCTTTTTCGAAAGCTTTCAATACAATTCAAACTTTCGATTGACAACACACAGTATCAATCAATGTATCAGACTTATTATGACGACGTTATAATCACCACCGAGGTGATCCCAACAATAGTCTTTTAACTCACCATGACTTATAATCGAACATTCTATATTAAGCCAGTTAATTCAGTACTTGATATAAACTAGCCTCCTAAACAAAATCTCGAATTCTCGAGAAAATAATTCAGGATTTATCACTGTTGGTATCAATTTGGTATTGATTAAAGTGTAAAGTACTTCATTCTTATCAATATGATTGATTGTATTATTCGTCTTAATCATTATTAACTATAAGAAGCTAGTACTTGATATAATAAAAGTACTAACACTAGTATATACACTAATACATACGCTAGTACAATACAATGCCCTCTTAGATTACATAATCGATATCCCAATACTGGCAACTCTTAAGTTGAATAGATCATATACTTTAAGCCTAAGCCCATTATTTAATCTTAAACACAATATTCTATTTCTACTCCCTTAGCTCCTCTTTCATTATTCTCTTTCCATCTAATACATCACTTTAATAACTATTTTATTAATATCAATCAAATCTTTTAAAACTTGATATACACTGTTTTTAGTTATAACATTCACAGGATTCGATTTCCTATCAATCCATTTAATCTCCGTGATCTCCTTATTTTCGTAGTATTATCATAAAGCCATAATATCAATCAGAAGTCATTTTTCCGTATTTATACCGAGCTTAGTTAATAGGTTATATAATGACTTAAAATCCATACAAAACATAAATAGTATTCGCTTTTTAGGTTTAAGAATAGCATTGATAGTACCCTTAATAGCAGCTCCGATATCAAAACCTAGAACTAGTGCATATAGCTCAGAAGCTAATACGCTCCTAATGATTCTCTTGCATTTGATCAATGTTCAATAGATAATATTAGCATTGCTGTACTTGTCTACAAGGTATATAATATAGCCGATTTGTAATGATAGATCAGTATTGTTAGCAAAGAATACATCGATAAAGACGACTAAGTCGATAGAATCCATATCGAGAGGTATAAAGATTAATCCTCTTCTTGAATTGTCCATCTGCCATTTGATAATCTTATTAAACTTAATAGCATCTTCTTCCTTTGAATCTATTACCTGAATAACAACTGAAAGATAGTATAATGCCTCTGGTTAACATACTATTGCAATATACACACCTCTCGCACATTAAGCAATATATTAGTTCTTCGAAATAACATTCTTTCGAATCTTTCCCCTCATTCCCCGCATATTAATACTTCCTAGTATAACCATTCGGAAATTATTACATTATTTCTCCTGATTCAGATAGATTCTATTATCTTTAAGAGTAATTAAACTACTATTAAACTTAAATAGATAATCTTCAATAAATTGCTCTCTATTTTTAGCCATAAATCCGGCTTTCTCTAACTACTCTTATTCTAATTATACAAATCTTTTGTCTACAACTATAAGAATATTATTGATTTATAGTTCTACAATACCAATGCTGTTATTAGAGTAAAGTAAACAGGGATCATATATAGATTGCATTATATTTAGCCTATCCCTATGATAATTGTAGTAAATTCCAAACCAATGATTTCCTGCTTCTGATATATTATACAAGGGCTTTATAATGTATAGCACATATCCGAAATCAAATCCGACCTCTTCTAATACTTTCATATAAATAGATCTATTCAAAATCGTGATTGATTGGGTATATGCTTATATAATATCCCATAAATAAATCTGAATATATTTATTTGACACTTGCAAAATAACGGCAAGTGTAAGTATAATATATTGGCTAATGTATTGAATAGTTGGTGATTGTATTAAAACAGTAATTTTGCCTATATCTTGGTATATCTAAACTACTAGTTATAATTTTGTATATGCTTTATTAATACCTTCTTCTTTTATTTTGTTAACAAATCGTAATTTAAATAGTTGTGTTCCGGGTGGTATACTAGCTTTTGAAATGATTTTAAAGACTTCATTTTCTATTAGTTTATCAACTTTCTTGCATCGTGATTCCTTATATTGTATAGGTATATTATCTTGCAAGAATACAGTTAATTGTAGTGATAATAGCTTAATGTCGATATTTATCAAATTGATTATATTAATCAAGTTGCTTCTCATACAATAATATAATTGCATATCTAGTTATACCGCTAGCGATAGTGTTTGTGATTGTAGTATCTCCATTTGTAATGTATCAATTATTATAATATCATCATCGTCGTTATTATTCATATCATTATTGTTATTCGATTCGATTTCTTCAAACTCTTTATAAAAAGGTTGTACAAATATAAATCGAAATTTAATTGGTCCACTAATGAGTTCCACTTTACATATTTCCCTATCCATTCCAATTAAAGTATATAATATAGTTTACTTACCTAATATATTACCACCTTTTCCTTTTCTCTATACTAAAACTTGTAAATTAAGCAGTAGAGTAAGAATTGATATCGTAAATAATCTATTTCTCAGTTTAAGCGCTTCTGTGACCTATCTCTTAGTTTGTATATAATGTATTTCTACTATAGCTTTCTTTATAGCTTTTGCACATTAAATAATTATCGGGGTTGGTGGATTAATATCACTCAATCTAGGGTATATTCTATAAACTAGTAGTATGGGAATAAGTCTATTCAATCCGGCTGTATCATTCATAGCTTTCACTACCATTTGCAGAATTATTGCTTTTGTCAAATTATCATTTTCAAGCTCTTTAATCAAAATCTCGTATGCATGGCGTAGAGGATAATGATATCTCTCCATTATATCTATAGAATTGTATACTTCAATTGGTATACTCTTGGTGATGATTGATATAGATTTTATATTCTGGATGAACTCTTTATTTACAAAGTTCTTTCCTGTATTATGAATAATATAATCTGGTGATTCTATATATACATCAATCCAGCACTCTCGAAGAATATCGAATATATACTTAGCTGAAACATTTTCAAGGAATCAAGCTGCTTGATAGTATGTTGCCTCGTCAACAATATGCAGAACTGGTTCGCCTGCAATGTATATGATATCGATATATATAATATAATTAAATTCAGTATTCTTTAATAGAGTAAACCTGAAATGTCCGGGTAACTTGCTATACATTTGATAATACTTGTAGTATTTAATGAGATGTTTTATAGTGTTATTACTCTCGTTGTAGTCTATGTATTGTAGTATATTATAAAAGTGTTATATAGATGGATGACTGAATTGTTGATATAAACACTATAGCTTAGTAATTGTTAAATAGCAATCATTCTGGTGAATAGACTTTTGAATAAGCTAATTCATATTTACCTTCTATATCAAAAATGTATGCTCGTGTTTTCTAATGACAGAATATTGACTAATTGGATTGATGAATTTGTTGGTGATATTGTTGTAGAATGCTTTAAGCTAATCTATATCCTCAAGTTCCAATAAAAATGGAATATCGATATTTACAATGTGAAAAACAATGTATTCAAATGATATATTGATACGAAATAAATCTATTGATATTGTAATCCTCTTCCCAAAGTGTATATTCACTGCTCTTATTGTTTATAGATTATATATTACTGGGTATATTTGTTGCTATATATAATATTGTTCAATCCCAATTATAGATTTATCTGTACAAACTATATCGATATATATATCAAAGAACTTCTTACTTGTATAACTTGTGTAAAAAACGTTTATCACACTTTCTATTGGTAGAGTAGCTTCAACAGGGTCTCTAATCAATATATACAATATTATATTAATTAATAACTAATTGAATATCTCTTGATTATTTACAGATTCTGAATTGATGAAAAATGCTTTTTCTTTAGTATTATCAATATTAAGATCTATAAAGAACTGTTTTATTTTGGTTTCTAAATCAGATTCTATATTAGTAGCTTTTCTTTCATATTTAATCAATTATTAGTTGTAGTGTTTATTAAATGTATTGTTATTATTATCCTTAATCTTTTCCTAATATTCATATCGGTTTTTATTCTATTCCTCCTAAGAATACTTTGTTAATCGATATCCCTCTTTCTTGTATATCCAGCAACGATTTCGTTGATTCGAAGAATTAGATTGTTGTCGAAATCTATTAGTATTGCTCTTGAAACTGTTGTTTCTGAAATTATTGCTTTTGAAACCTCTAAAACCATTTGAATTATTCCGATTATTATTACTATAGAATTTTCTATCAGTAAATAGTATTATATCTTCTTCCTTATACAATCTCTTTTATATATTAATGAATTATCGCAATTGGTTAATTAAACCAAACACCTCCTTTTTAGGGTTGAAATAAGTTAGATTACATGCCTCAACGTTTTTATATACTAGTATAAGCTTATTATATAGATATAACATCTGCCGCATAACAGGATCAAATCGATGCTATAGCATATATAACTATTTAATCATAATAATAAAACACTTATTAAGTGGCTTATTTTTATGCTTCTTTTTAATCGATTTAAGAATAATACTATTTCATTTAAATAGCATATTGCATTGGTACTCTTCTCCCTCAAAATTACTCTGTATATAAATGTAAAGCTCTCTGAATATAAATAGTAATACTTCGTAATTAGTATAAAAGAATTCGAATATACTATC